AACAAATAGTAGAGAGAGAGAGAGAGAGAGAGAGGTGTAGAATAACATAAGATGTTGATGGTGTACTTGTGGTGGAAACAGAAGGACGAAGAGAGCAGTTAACACATCTCTGGCCTCCTTCTCATTGCATGTAACGTTGGATTAGCCGAAGAATTGGTGGTGTGGCGGAGCCAGGTTTAACTGTATCATTTGAGGAAGGCAAGTTTAGGAATCATTTGTGGTTCTTCAAGAGAAGGAGGCTTTTTGTGACAGTGCTGCTAATGGCAACCGCAAGCACGCGCGCGCACACACAGCTATGCTTTCGCTGCAACTAAAGACCTCAAATACGGCAGCTACTACTCGGCAATTGGCATCCACACACTATGACATTCATACTGAATAATGTCAGACTTATAGGAGGACTTCATGTGGATCTTTGTTAGCTTGAAATGGACAACTGATCATCCTTGAACTCAGAAACAAAATCCACAAAATACTGCTTCCGTTTAATGTGACCTTTGCATTAATAATTCAGAGGGGAAACAGTCTACACTGTTGCTGTTTACACAAAAGAAAAATTGTTTTGCATAAGTAATCAAAATTAGGCAAATCAAATGACCTTTTCTAAATAATTGTTCTCAAGAAACAAGGATGAAGACAATGGTTGGCACCATGACATGTCACAATGGTACACGCCAGTCAGAATCCGTACCAAGGCGCTGTTCGACCCGCGTACCATCACGCCAACCTGAGAATCAGCAAGGGGAACACCCCCACACGCCAAGTCAGAATCTGTACCGAGACATTATTCGACATGCTCCATCCCAAAAACCCGGGGCGACGTCGTCTGACGTCGCTCCGTGCGTCCCGAGACGATGGCCAACCAGAAGTGCCGTCTCAACTCTCGAAGATCAACGGTCACGTCGAACTCACGTGCAACCGACCCTCGTACAATAGTATAAAAGCCCATGGCCGGCATTTGGTCAAGGGGGAGGCAAAAAAAATAATTGAATCTGACTTGTTCGTCGGAGGGGCCAAAGTTAGGAATCACTTGATGAAGATCATTTTTACAGGAAAGCGATCACCCACGACCCGCGAGCATCCCAATCTTGAAAGTCGTTGACCGACGTCCCCACGACGAGCTATCAACTGGCATTCGGACCAAGAGACACTGATCAAGACCCCGTCGCGAGGGCTTGGTCAACCTCGACGTCTAGCTCGACCGACAGGAGACTCTCGACATTGACCCGAGGATCTAGCTGACTCACCAACACCACCCATCTGAACCCCTCAAGCTTGAGGAGTCAGTGGTCTGCACCTGAATGCAGTCAACATGCAAGCTCATAAGACAACGACTTCCCTCCCTATCGTCGGCCTTTTCCTCCTCACAATATAATGACATTTTGTTGTGGTTGTGATATTACGTGACATCGAAAAATATTAACTAAATTAAACAACATAAAAGTTTTGAATAAACTTTTTTTTTTGTATTATGTTCTTAATTTTCTTCTTTGGTGATATTTAAGGATTCAAAACCTTAAAAACATGTTACTGTTATTTAATAAATAAATAAATAAAATAAATATTGATGAGTGAAACGGCGGGTGTTATTAATTGCGTGCATCGATCGGAAGGGTATTTTGGGTAAATAAAGAAAGAACCGAAGAACTTAGCGACGGACCACCGAAGGGCAGCTGGCGACAGCTGTCGGATCGGATCGGGTATCCACCCGCTACCCAACTCCTCTCGTCTATAAATAGCCCTGTTTCTGTTGTGCTATTGGCGCTTCTGTTCCTCTCTCCCTAAACCCCATCTGAAGAAGAAGCAGAAGAAAAATCTCGCCTCGCGGGTAGCAATGGCGGCAATCGGAGGCCAGTCCCTCGCGATCTCGCTCGTGGCCGTGGTCGCCGCCGCCTTCCTGGCAGTTGGAGCCGTCGCAGCCGACGCACCGGCCCCCAGCCCGACGTCCGCCGCCGGCGCCCTCATCCCGAATCTCGCCGTCGCCGTTCTCGCCTCGTCCGTCGTCCTCCTCCTCCTCGGATCCGTCCGTCACTGAGTGATCCTGGGCGTAGACTAGTCATTCCAGGGTGGAATTGGGTCGTCTTTAGGGTTTCTTTCAATAAGGGTGGTGGTGATGGCGATCGATGAGTTTTTTTAACGCTTAGTATGGGGTCTCTAGTGCGTGTGTGTGTAGATATGATATGCTTTGGCTGCAGAGATTGATGTGTTATTAATAGTTCTGTTTGTCTTTCTTTAGTTCATGTTCATGATTTGTTGGTGAGATTTTGTGGTGTGTGATGGATGGATTGATCTATGGTTGATGCAACCGATGTCTGAGATTATTCTGGTGCCATAAATCTCCAAGCTTCCACTCTTTGTGAGGCCAGAGTGGATCGATGGGTCAAAAACACAACTTTGGGTTCCCATCTTCCGATCGAGAAAGCGAGTTCATCGATCAGCGTGCTGTGTCATCGTACCTGTGCGCCGACGAGAGGGACCCGAGATTTGTGCCTCTTTACCAACAAAGCATGTGGTGGTGGCCCGATGCCCTCAGGAGGAGGATGACGATCGAGGCATAGCATTTGGAATCGAAGATGCCGCTTCTTCAGTTACTTGAGCGGCTCATCTTTGGGCAAAAGGGGAGAAGCATCCTCGCTGTAATAAAAAGAGAATTGTTCTTGTCATGACTTCTCAGTGACTCTTTACGTAAGTGCGTGAATCTATCTATCTTTAACTCCAACTCCCCAACTTTCTCATATTTCCAGGTTGTAAACCAAAAGCATATTTTCATATTAGATGTATTTATTTATATTAGAACAACTGTCAAGTGAGTCCCAACCACAAACCTTTAGGCAAAGGGTCGCATCGCCGAAGTGCCACACTCACCTATTCTTTTACTTAAATAAACCCGAATGCCAGAGGAAAGAAGGGTCCATCACATGAATCCCTGACAGACACTTCCTCTTCCATATATCTTTCTTATTACGCTTCTTTGTCTTCCATGTAGTTTTGTCATCACACCCAGTTGGAGACATGGCCTGTTAGAGGTCACCGAAACAGAACTTTCTGGTTCCCGTTGGACGTCGAGGAAGATGGCTCTGTCCAAACTGCAGAGGATGGAAGGCACTGACGATGACACTTCACCAGCCAGGCTTCTTTTTTTATCTTTGTGACGGGGACCTTTAACGCGTCAAATTCATATTTGGGGAAGGAATCTAAATAGAAGCAGAAAGATGAGGTGCCAAGACTTACTTTGCATGCTATATATGTGTATGAACATATACTTAAACCAAGTCTTATTAAACATGCAATGGGGTTGAGGGAATGAAGATGATAAATGTGTTATTGTAGGCTTGTCGTATGTGCTTGATACAGAAAAGATGAATGCTTCCATGACCACTACTTTTGACAGAGAGTAAATACCTCGAGTGAATCATTTACAAAAAAAGGCATCTCACGAACTCTGGAGTCTCAATCTGACACAGATTTCTCCAGCTACTGTCACTCTGGTCACATTTCGAACCCACGGCCAGGCATTAGTGACATGATTGGGTCAGGAACTAAAGCCTCTGTGGAGAGAAGACCAGCTGTTTGAGGGAAACCTCAGGCAAGCTTGAGCAGAAACCTCGGCCATGGTTTCCTCCCTGATGCCTGCATTGCAGATGTTTGCTAGGGACCTCATGTGTTTCATTCCATACTGAGATAAAGACCCACAGTATGTTTCGAAGGCCCGTACCTACAACAACAAAAAGCAACGACAGCATTGAAATCAAATGATAAGTTATGATCTAGTCTAGAGAATATTCAACGAGATCCAAGTTCTTTTTTAACATCAACCAATCGTTGAAACCGGTCTTTCGAGCGCCAATCCTCGGATTTCATCATCACATACATATTTAGAGGAAGCATTGACCTAGAATGCAGTATCTCACAGTACTCCAAGAAACTGAATTGCCCTAGTAACATATCGATCGACCAAAGATTTAGATATGGTTTCTGTGATGATTCTTAGAAAAGACAAACATAAGAGATGGTTATGAAGAGGCAATTAAGATTGAAACCATGAGAAAAAGCTGGAATAATTGGGATGTGCAATTAGTCATAGCAATTTTCCTATCACAATTGCTGTCAGCCAGGAATAGAGCTGCAACCTCAAAACAATTTAGAAATCAACTGTATATGTATCATGCTAGAGTACAATTTTACATGAAGTGACGAGGTGCCTAATGTAGGTAAGATGAAGTTTTCAGTTGCTTAGTTGTGAGTTTTAGTGTCTCATACTAAGTGTGTTGTCTCAGCAACAAGACCACATTGCAAAGCAAAAGAGGACTTCATAGGAGGATTCAGAGATACATCTAAGTTCAATATGTCGAAAGGTTAAGATGATCGGTTTACTCACCATTGACTTGAGACAGGACCAGTCATCCACTAAAGGCTGGCCAGCTGGTCGGACACTCTCGAGCACTTCAGGCCCTTGCTCGGAACCAAAAAGAAGCTTTCCAATAAGTTGTATACTGGTATCTATATGCAGACGATGTTCCATTACTTCTAGTAGATGCTTTTGAGCGTTAAGTTTCTGATGGGAACCTTCAGGTGCCCTATGAAACTTCGAATAAGAAAAAAAAAAAAAAATTAGTTGCATAACAACAAAAGCAGCATGGGCAAAGTGATGTTTTAAAACCTAATGTTGCATAAAAGATTCAAAGAACTTATAAATAAAATGAACCTTATGCCAGAAATGAATTAGATCTGCATCACGTTGGTTCACGGCCTCTGGTAATGGTGGCAAGGAATTATAATCAACATAAGTGGGATTATCATTGGCAGGATTAGAACCTACGTACGAAACAAGTTTTTTTGCATTTAGATCCAGATCCCCGTATTGCATGACATGAGAACCAAATAAATATGTCCTGTGAACTGCAGTCCTGGTTTTGACCTGCAAAGATTAATAGAAGTGCTTAAACGGACAGCTACAGAAACAGGTGACATACGATGAGGAAACTACGACATCAAGTGCGTACAAGTTGATACTGCTGCTTCAGTGTTTCAATCTGCCAATTGTGCATATAGCTGATCATGCAAAAAAAATAACCATGTAAGATAACTAAAACCAAAAAGGTCAATGGACATCCAAGATATGACACACTACTTGACTGATTTATACACAAACAAGTAGGATTATATTCTATTTCTGTTTATATATTCTATCAGAATACTTTTTTTCAGTTTAATCAAAAGAAACCATTAACTCATCTGCATCAAGAAGACCTAAAAGAGGATCATTATTTTCTAAAAGAAAATTCAAGCTATACAAGGATAAATGACATGCTGACGTGCCAAAATATAAAGCCAAGAATATCATGCAACAACACTGGATCTTTTTCTTTGTTTCTCTTTTTTCTGCTGTAATATCACTAGATCTCAAGAAAGAATAGAAGGTACAGTTTCATTTTCTCTCAAACAGAATGCTCACATAAAGATGCACAATCTTGTATGTAGAAATGTTATCCAAAAAGCAGATGCATATATTCGTCGACAACAAAAGATGCTCATTATATCAGATAACCAGGATGCTTCATTTGGTGGAGAAGGTTTACACACCTGTCTTCCATCCAAGAAACACTATACAGATCCCCCAAACAGGTAGAGTATTCTGGAGGAGGGGAAGGGAACATTCCGGGGCAGTAAGTTCCATAACTACTCTCTGTAGTATTTGCTGCAGTGGTTGCATATACTTTTATATTGTCTGGGAGAAGGCCCTCAAAAATACTCCCAGATTCACAAGCTTCAAGATAAAATACCTACATAGTAAAACACGAACAAATATAAACTACAATATAAAAAAGTTATGACAGTGCATACGCAGGGTATATAATAGATGTTACCATGCTTTTAAAGGATCCAGAAGCATGTTTTTTCTTTAACACGGCAATCAAGTCATCCGCATAAAGGTAAGGATAAGTGGGCATCCCTAAGAAGTTTTAGAACAGAAATTAGAAAAGCTATCATTCTGATGCTACAAGTGTGGAGTCAGAAAATAGAACATTTGAGGAACTAAACCCGATCCCATGAGATTCTCAAATAAGCTGAGGTTTCACAAACTTTTACAACTTCACAGTAAAATTGCAGCTAGTCATAATTCAAAGTTCTACAACTTCAGAAAAAGAACTACATTCTCTTTCTTATGGAAATATACGAAACCAAACAAACAATTTAATAATTGGACTTACAATGGCACAATAATAAGAAACATATAGTCCAACTAACCAAGTACTCCAGGTCCACCGTGATCAGAGTAGAAAACGAAGATATGATCATTTGGAGCACTATTAACAACCTTCCCACTTCCTCCAGACAAAGCAGTCTTGTTTCCCAGGAGTACAGCAAAGAAGTTGTTCACGTTAACATCATCTCCAACATAGTCCTGCAAAGGATTATTCCAAACTTAGACAAGAGCCCATGATGATGGACAGGAACTGTAAATATAAATGTGAGAAAGAGAAAACCTTTGGCACTCCAGCATAAACATCTTCACCCCATGGATCATTGATAATGACCCCAGGTCTAGGATTATCCTCATTATTAGCAATGTCATCATACATGAAAACAATGATATTCTCATCTTGCAATCCACCCTTTTTCAGGACTTGGTATGCATGACATACATCAGCCTGAAGAAAGAATTCAAAGAGAAGTGTTGATATTAGGCAAAATTAACCAGAACTGAATCAAGACATGGATGGATGTTTTTAATTTTGCATAAAAATGATTTCCTATTTATGATTACAGAAGAACTCACTAAGAAATGGTCAAGCTGCAAAAAGATAGCCACTTTATATAATAAAAGTTGTCTGGCTAAAAATAATCAATTGCCACTAATTGTCAATATTCCAGTCAACAGCAAACTCCAAAAGCCTGGTGTCTTGTGAAGGCACAGTACATTCATTTTTGAATTAGAGAAACACACTCCTCATACAAATGATATAAATGACATAAACAATGATAAAAGAACTTCCAATCAGCATTCGTAGTTGCTATCAGTGTAACTTTAGGCATTTTGTGTAACTAAATGGTTGTGTAACTAAACAGTGAATGTTTATGTTACACCATAATTACGGAGGCAATTATGCAATATCATATAAAGGTAATCCGAACGAGGCTTTTGTCGTTATGTGCTTCAGAGTGTATCAGATACAGATGGTCATTATACCCTCAGATGTGTAGAGGGCGCTTCCGTGATCTAACCCATGACTAGGGGTGTTCAAACCTGTTCGAACCAAACTATTAAGGGTCAAACCAAACCGAATCATTTTTTCAATTTGATTAGGTTAAAGTAAGGTAGTCCGAACTAGAACCAATTCAAAACCGGTTAACTTGGTTCTGTTAACCGGTTTGTAATTTCATACAACTAAAAAATATATTTTTTTTAAATGAACCGGTTCAATTCAATTAAACCGAACCGAAATCTTGGTCCAATTGAGCATCATGACAATCTTTGTGAAATTGAGTCCACATCATATGTAAAATTGAGCCTTTGGGTCAGTTTTATTGATCAATTTAAATTGATTAAGGGCTTAGGATAGTAAACTCAACCAGATTGATATCCTTTAAATTAAGACTGGTTCAGTTCGATCGAACCAGTTTAACCAAACTGAAGAAAGTTACCATCGAACTGGAACCATTTATAGCCTCCAAAACTAAACCACTGGTGAATCAGTTCTGACTGAACTGGTTTTGAATTGGTTTGGTTCCGGTTCAGTTCGATTTGAATACCCTTACCCATGACACCCAAACTGTAGTAGACAACTTTAGTGTCCATTAAGGTTTGTTCCCTACTTCTGTGGAAAAAGATAGCAAGCTAAACTTAATAAATGACAATTGTAAGGTTGAAAACATCAAATTGAATTTTATACAATTTTGATATTGTCTATAGCCGAAACTTTGCATAATGAGCAGAAAAATATTTCAAATTTGTTTTCCAAAATTAGTACAATTTTGTAGATATGCTAGTATTGTGCTAAAGAGCAACTAAAATGATTTTCTTTTTCCACATAAAAAGAAAATTAATTGGTGATCTCTGGAATCCAATCAGTTATAACCCATCTCACAATCAAACCTCAAAGAAGTGGAAACAACTATACAAAATATCTATCTACATCGAGCTCTTTTAAACAAGGGTCAATGTTCCTTATCAAGCGATGATTCAGCTCTAGGCCAACCACGATAAAAAAATTCCAAGAGCTCACCAATAGTTTACCGAACAGATGCAAACTTTTTTATGTTTCTGTATGAAGTAAATAATAAACCAATAGGAACAGCTTCGAGGGTTGAAAAATGGAATCAGAAGAACACAAAATGACAGAAATATCGAATAACATTTATGCATATATGCTACCGCTACAACCCAACAAAGGGGACCGCATACATTTAATTAGGCAAGAGAAAATAGCATGAGGAAATGCCAGTAATCATGTCTGATCAATATACTTTCCACAACCACGAGTCAAACCTAAACGTCTTTGCCTACCAATTCTTTGATCATGAAGAATTCATCGGAAAAATTGAGCTCGTGCCGCATTCCGCAAGCACGTTAATCAAAATATGGTCCTGTATATGCTATCTAATTGCGAAATATCAGAAATTTCTTCGAGAAATCCTTCAAAAGAACGCGCTGGTCCCTCGGGCACGCTATTGACAATAACGGTAACATGAAACAAACAACGTTGACGAACGCGACAAAATAATAGATTTCCAAACAGGAAGGCGGTTTGTTACTCCGAGAAGACGTTTTTGTTTCCTTCTTTCTCCATGGAAAAAATCATGAGACGGAAGTGGGAGACGATATACCTGATGGCGGTAGTTGTAGTATCCATTGGATCCGGCAATGAGGACCGCCCACCTCGTCCCCAAAGGGTCGCCCTCACCGATGATCGGTTTTGCCACGCGATCGGACGGCAACCTTATGGGATCGAGGCGGGATTCGACGAGCAGCAGCGGGACGAGGACGAGGACGAGGACGAGGCGGCGAAGCGCGCCGGCGGCAAAGCGGGCCATCGTAACCGTTTCGGACGTATCAAGGCGGAAGAGATCCGATATATCCGATGTGGATCGCTTACTCCGTAACGGAGGAGCGCCCCAAACAGAGGCAGGCCGCGATTAGTGCTGACCATTTATAGGCCGCGGCGCGGGTCACCCCGATATATTGGCCATGGGATCTGCTCGACGACGACGTGGATCCGTCGCCACCGTCCCTTTTATTGTTGGCTGAATATGACGCGGCCGTGGGACCGGGAACAAAGATTATCCCGACACTGCGGGACGGCGAACGTGACGTACCCAAATCACTCACCTGTCCTTTAAATGGATGCAGCGTGTGGGACCACCTTCTTTGGGGGGACGTGTTGTCATTCTTGGAACACACGTAGCACAAGGCCTTTTCCAAACGTATCAAGGAGTTGATCGTTTAACACGAATCTCAACGGACGTAGATTCGATATTGATTTAATACAAACATCGCTTCGGATTTTTATTCTTATGTTGAAAGCTTATATCTGTTAACAGCTTCACTGCGTTACCGTGGTGTTCAACCTACACGCTTCATGATAGGACAACAAGCATGGGTCCCATGCTGACTCTGCTGAACCGGTTCGCTGCTGAACGCGAAGGGGTAGGAAAAGTACCATGTCGTGGCTGTATCTCAAGCAAACATTTTGGGCCCCAGAAGAGGTTGGTACGTATGTCCTCGCGCGTAAGCTATACGCGTCGGGAGTCCCTTTGGGATGGACACCAAAGACGCTTGGAGACTCCACCACGACTCGTGGTGTCCCCGTGACGAAGCACATTGATGACTTCCCAAGTTTCTCTTTAAATGAGCTCCTCGATCCTTCGCCCAAACCTTTCTCTCTATTTCGACTCCTCCACATCCGTTTCTACGAGGTCTTCTTGAGTTAGGGTTCCGAGGGTTGGTCCGTCATGAATCCCGAATAGTAAGCTTCTCCGATCCTCGATTTCTTTTCTTTTCCTTTACCAAGAAGTCTCTTGTCTGCTATTAACTAGGGTTTTCTGTTCTTTGCGGCTTTTGATTCGGCAGATCGTCTCGTTTTCTTTTGGTTTTTTTTTTCTCGATTTCCTAATTTTCGGCATGCTTTAGCCGGCTTTTCTCTCTTCAGGGGCGAGCGAGTTCAGGATATTAATGTGACGAGGGTTTTTCCCCCTTTTCTTTTGCCGCACTAGTTGGCGACCAAAATTCTACTGTTAATGTCTGTTGTGATGTGTGTAGATCAGTCTCGGCATGGAATATGAGATCATAATGACCAATATTGGACCTTTTATTATTAGAAACTGGATTCAAACATTTGGTGCGTCCATTGTGGCTATCAGCTTTACCTCCTTTGATGTGTGATTTCAGCCATCACATCCACTTTGTGAGAAAGCTGAATCCATGTGATGATTATGAGCACTCGTACATGCTTTCACTAGAAAATAAACGAAAGGATAAACTATTGTGTAAAGTATCTTCTAACTTCGTGAGTTATGTCTGAACTGATAAAATAACGATCCAAGTTTGATTTTTTTTTTTGTTTCATGAGATCAAAGGACAATTTTGCATAAAAAGATATTTATTTTTTGTTTTCTCTCATCTTTCTCGAAGTTTCAGTTTGTAGTACAGATTCTAGTAAAGATCTGTTGCGGATAAAATAATCAGATATAGATTTTTAACACTCTATCGTGGAAAAATTAGACTAGGAAGTTTTGTAATTCATGATTTTCTTTTTTCTTTTTGTGCTATCATTGTTTGAGTGTGTCCTTGTCATTTTAATTTAGTTGAAACTGCTAAATGGTGATAATTTTTCAACTATGTTAAAAATGATAGAATTTTGTTCTTTTGTAGGTATGTTTTGCAGATCCATAATACATGTTTTTTATTATTATTTTTTATCATTTTTTTATATCTTTGTTGAGCTTTTTGATTTCTGATGTGGTTAAAACTGAAACAGATGATGAAAATTTTTCAAAACTGTTGAAGACGACAGTATTTTGCTTCTTTTACCAGCTGTAATTAAGCATTGAAACTATATAATATCCTTGGTTTTTTGCAGCAGAATATTTTGTTGCTGCATGAGAATGATTCTTATCTGTTATTTTCTAATTCATAAGAGACTTTTTTTTTATGTTTGATGATTTTGTGAATTGCTGATAAGATGAAGTTTTAGTCTAAGATTGGTAAAACAATTGTAATAGATAATTAGAAATGATACCATGGTGCAAGTGGATAATGAATAAGGACTCAGAGGAACCTGCCCTTTCAGAGCTAAGGCATATATAGGAATAGGACCAAGTTCTTATATGGCAAGTATAAATTGAAATATGAGATTCCAACTGATTTATATAGATCCTGGGATGTTTTGAGATTCCATCATACCAAATTGAGCCATTCTCACATGGCATCAAGTGTTATACCTTTAGATGGACTACCTCATAGATATCTGCAGGTTCATCAATGTCTTTTGTTTGGAAATGTTTCTTATGAAGTGAAAAAAACACTCATTAACAGATTGATAAATTTTTTAGGGGAAAAAAAAACAGATTGATGAAGTTACATTTAATAAAATGAAAATTACAATTTTGATAGAACATATAATATTGATTGCTAAAAAAAAACTATTTTGATGCATAAATAGAACAATCCCTTGCATGACTTAGTATTAAGAAACAAAAATAGAACAATCCCTTGTATGGCTTAGTATTAAGAAGTTATCTTATTGCTATTATAGAAGTATGCCATATATGGATTAGTATTTTTGACTTTTGGTGTGATATATCAAATCAGAACTTGTGACAATGTTATTCCTAGTAAATATTAACATTTAATGTCAAGTATTTCTTACTGAAGAAAGAAACATGGCATTTTGGAGACTACTTTTGTGCTAGTCAGGTCTAAGTTTAGCAGTTCTCTCCCTCATCTTGATTAATGAGTGCAGTAAATAGACTCCAAGCTGCCAAATTAGACTTAAGTAGAAATCTAATGGCTCATGATACTCCAGTTTCTCAAATGGGAGACAAAAATAGGAACAAAGATATGCTGATTTTCTCTACTTGTTGGGACCTGTGAATTTATTTTGCTCAGACTTGCTGTTATGTGGTATGTCAGCAAATATTTTCTTATAAAAAATAGTTGTTATTGAAGCTATATATCAACCATATGCATTGATTTTAGCACTCATATTTTAGTGGGTTGTAACTTTGTAATTGCTTAACAGTTTTTGTAGCATTAGGTACAGATTCACCTATGTCCATTTTTCTAGCATGGAGAAAAGTTGAGATTGATGCAATTTTATTTATTAGGGAATAGAAACTCTGAATATCAACATCTATGACCAATGTATATATTGCAGTGACTATCTTTTCAAGCTTCTGCTTATTGGGGATTCGGGGGTTGGAAAATCATGCCTTCTACTTAGATTTGCGGTGAAGATCTCCTCTTTTGTCTTCTTTTCTAGTTCTTTGGAACTTGCTATCATCTTATGATAATACTCTGTTGTGCTACTTTTGGCTTTTTCTATGACACTATATCTTTTACTGTAGGAACATTGTTACCATGGAGGCATACTGTTTTGATCATATGGGAACATTATGTGTAACTGTCCAATTTTAGGTCATGTATTTGTTGTGTTTGCTCATTCTTTATTCATGTATGGTGGCAGTTTCTAGTTCAACTATTTCTTGTTGAAAATAAGCACACACATTGTTTACATATATGATCTCTGATTGTTGATTTTCTATGATGCACACACATAATATCCCTTTCCATTATATTTAAATTCATAACAGTTGAGATTAATTTTTTATTTTGTGATATCGAAATAAATTAATAATTATGCACTTAATCATATTAATTTATTTTGATTTCACATAATGAAAAGTTAATCTCAACCGTTGGGGATTTAAATGTAATTACAAGAGACATCATGCCGTATGGTAAACAAAAGTTTGTTTATCTAGAAATTATGATTTTATTATCTTGTCTTTATCGATATGAGAATTCATGAGTGTTAAATTAATACCAAGGATCATTATAAAACCTGACAGAACATATAATGATTACATGAAAGAACCTCCTAAAATATAAGTGTTCTGAATAAGGTTTAGGGTGGAACAATATGTGTATTATGGAAAACCAACAATCAGAGATCATATAAGCAAATAGTGTATGTGCTTGTTTTCAGGAAGAAAATAGTTGAAGCAGGAATTGCTGCGGTAGACGAATAAAGAATGAGCAAACACAACATATGTATAAATTGGAAGACCTTGTAGATGATTCCAGTCCAAGGAAACCCTTAGGCATATTATTTACTGTGCCCGTTGTTGAGATCATCAGTTGAGATCATCATTCTTCCGTTTCAGGTATATTAGTTTTAGGAAGTTGGAAGTCTCTTTTCCTTCTTAGGATATTTCTATTTGATGTAATCAGGCAAGGTTTGTGAGTTACTGACTTCTCCCAACCCCCCAAGAGTTTCCCCCCTCAGGTTCTAAATTCATGAGATGTATTTTCATGACAATTCTATGTTTTCTATGTAACAATGCCTCAGATTTTGACATATCTAAAGTTTTTGGGCAATTTCACATTTGATGAACACTTGTTCATTTTATATTGTGCAGTAACAAGTGTGAATTACATGTTTTATTGCATGAAATGTGCTACATTGTCTTATTTTTCTGCATTTTTATTGAACCATATGGAGATCTATGATATGTAAGTTTCTCTTCTTGCTTGCTTCAGGATGATTCCTATATAGAAAGTTACATCAGTACAATTGGTGTAGACTTTGTGAGTATGCTTACACTTTTATACCCTTCTCCCTCTTGCTCCCTTTTCTCCTCTCCCCACCCAAAACTTGTTTCATGACAGTTTCTTTTTATCTCATTAGAAAATTCGCACGGTAGAGCAGGATGGGAAAACCATAAAACTTCAAATTGTAAGTAAGAATGAATTTAGCATCTGTCGTGAAGCATTTAGGTTCTTTTCATGCTATTACGTTTTCTCTTCATTGCAGTGGGACACTGCTGGTCAGGAACGCTTCAGGACAATCACAAGTAGCTACTACCGCGGTGCACATGGGATTATTGTGAGATCCATCGTGATTCTATTGCTGTGATTTCAGTTTTCATGGTTTACTATACTGTTTTGTTTGACAATATATGCCTGACAGGTGGTCTATGACGTAACTGACCAAGAAAGTTTCAACAATGTCAAGCAGTGGCTGAATGAGATTGACAGGTATGCCAGTGAAAATGTGAACAAGCTTTTGGTGGGAAACAAGTGTGATCTGACCGATAATAGGGCAGTATCTTATGAAGCTGGCAAGGTAATTATTGCTGTTAAGGAGTAACAAAGGCAGGATCCCTCATCTTCTGCAGTCTGCAATTTGAGTCGAATGAGCTAACAATCTCTGGCCTTGGTTCCTGAAGGCATTTGCGGATGAGATCGGCATACCATTCCTGGAGACAAGTGCCAAGGACGCTACGAATGTAGAGAAGGCATTTATGACCATGGCTGCTGATATAAAGAACAGGTGAGCTTTTATTTGTCGACATTTGCATGGAAGAACACTCCAACCTCGTAGAATTATCACTGTTTGATTCGTTTTTAGTCAAGCTTTTAGATCATACTGATAGTGTCATTGGATTTTTGTGTACAGAATGGCAAGTCAGCCAGCTATGAATGCCAGCAAACCTACGACGGTCCAGATGCGGGGTCAACCAGTCGCCACGAAGAGTAGCTGCTGCTCCTGAATCAATTCAACACAATCATACGCCTTTGCTCCAGACGAGAGGTCATTATGCTGATAAAAGTTGGGGGGCTGTTTATGGCGTGTATTTGTGAATTACAATCAGAAACTCTGCTTGGTTTGTATTGGATTTAAAAGAAACAGGTTTGTGTTTATCTGCCACCCGGATGATCTTGAGGTATTCAAGTATTAATGACACAAATAGTTGCTATCTTGATCCTCGAACGTAATTCATCCTATGTATATACATATTTGCTAGTTTGCACTGACTTGATCTTGCACGGGCGAACGCTGCCGGCCTTCTCCTTTTTAAGTTTGATGTTTTATTATTGAGTAACGTCTTGTGCCAAATCAATGTTGCAACCTTGAATGCTACGACTTGTAATCTGGCGCGTGCCATGTGAGCCATGTGATCGCCGCGGATGGAGTGTTAGGTTCGTAAAGGGTTATCTCATAAAATCTATAAAAGAGTAAATTAATTAGTTTAAAAACTAGATAGGTTCTGATATCTGATGTTATTTATATGATTATTTATATGATCAATTCACGAAAGGTTATGCAAGAGAAAAAAAAGAGGAAAGAGAAAACAAATATTTTAGAATGCAAATGAACAGTCGGAAGTCTGCAAATGATTGTTCACCGAGTGTCGAGGGCGATGGCAAATTCTTGTAGACTTTGAAATTCGTTTCTATTCATAGTTTTCAAGCAAAAATATAGAAAATTAAGGCAAAATACACTGCTAAGCATATGTGCAAGCAAACAAAAGCGATTAACAATTCATTGACAAAGAACCTATCTAGTTTTTAACTGTTCGTGACATTCTCCCTCACTTAAACTGTTGACGCTCTTCATGCTCCCAAGTGTCTTCCGTTCGAGGAAGATTTCATCACTTTACTAAGTATTCAGTCTGCTATGCTCCGTTGGATAGTTTTGTCTTATGATCCATTAAAATGATTTCAACTCATTTATAATAGGAAACTCTGGTGGGAGGTAACAAAGTTGAAATACTTCAGGAAGCATCCTACGGGTTTGAGTGATAGGCTTGTAAGTTGCTTGCGTGGAAGACTTAATGGATTTTGAGTCACGCTTGTAGTTGTAACTTATAGGAGACATTGTCTACCATGTTGATAATTGAGAATGATCCTTTGCGCACCAATCTCTTATGCACATTATGCTTAAAGAACTAGAGTGATGCTAGTTGGAGCTTCATCAATACCAAGTCACCAATTTTAAACTCTTATGGTCGTGTTTCCAAGTTTGCCCAATTCTTCATCCTTTTGATAACATTTTCTAAGTAAGCTCACACAAAATTTACATTTTGGTGTTATTCTTTTATAAAGTGATATTCGGTATAACCAATCGCAGGTATAAAGAGTCGATGACTGTTGTCCCATAATGATATCGAAAGGACTCTAATTAAATGCAAAGCTCTACTGTAAGTTATAGGAGAATTGGGCTATATCCAATAGCTTCAACTAATCTCATTAGTTAGTACTTACAGTGCCGAAGATATTACTTAAAGAGTAAATTTGTTCTTTTAGTTTGGCTATTTGTTTGGGTGTAAAGGTTTGTGGAGAAGTTTAACTTAGATCCTAGTAATTTGAACAACTCGATCCAAAATTGTCCAAAGAACCATGCGTCTCGATTACTAATGATATTGTGCGGGACTCCCCAATACTTCAGCACATTCTTTATCATTAACTTGGTCATGTCTTCTGTTGAGCAGTGTAAGGGTGCAACAATGATTGTTGCAAATTTTAAAAATCGATCAACTACCACAAGTATCGATCCAAGTCTTTCTATTATCGGCAAGCTTGATATGAAGTATAAAAAAATATTCTCCCGTGACCTTTTTGGTACGGACAATGACTCAAAAAATTTCATTGGCTTTCATTGCTTTACTTTGTGATAAATAAGACACGTTCGAATATATTACTCCACATCGGTCTTCGTTTTCGGCTCATAAAAGACCCTCTCCACGAGACCCAATATTTAGTGAATGTTTAGATGTCTAACCTAAAAGAAATCATGACATTCTCTTAGGAATTTATGCCTCAAACTATTCATTTAAAGAACATAAACTTTATTACTTCGAAGAACATACTTTATCATCAAACTCAATAAACTATTGAGTATCACATTCTCATCAGCTTAATATCAACTCGGATGTCTTGTCACTTCGATATTTGGTGGGCTGATGTTGGGTTGCAATGATGTAATTGTCCAAAAAGTTAATTTGATTTTTAATTACCCTAATGTTTATTTACTTCAATCAGTTATCAAAAATCATTATAAAAAGCCGAGATACGATTAGTTTGACCAAAGATTATTATAACACTATAAGAAAAACCTTAGTTAGCTCTGAATCTCCTTCCGATGGATAATAAATTTATTATTATAAATTAGTGTTAGAACGAGGACCTAATATAACTCATATATCATAAGATAATTGAGTCAAAACCTCATGAGATCACATAAAAGATTCGATACTATTAACGCAAACACTTGCTTTGAGAATAGGATTAGGAAACCCTTTTTTCCTTATCCTTAAAGCACAGTAACACTTCAACATTTAGATGATGCTAGTTACATCACTTATGATGAATCAATCATCGTGCTGAATTAGTTGTAGAATAGACCATGTATAAAAATAGATCAACAGACACAAATGAATCGATCAACAAACACAAATGAATCGTTTAAGCATTGTAAATCAAAATTAAATAATATTTTTTCACAAGTGAAAGATACTAATAAATAAATATAAATATAAAATAAATTTAGAATATTTTTATAATTTAAAATATTTGATTTCGAAACATGACTCTAATATCAATTATAAACATAAAACTATAATATATTAATATTATGTAAAAATACTGATATATTAAATTTATAATATATACCTTTGAATACCGGTCGGAAAACCTTTATTTGATTTACAAACACACATCATTGAATTTGAAAGTTACAATAATATTAATTTATAAAGAGAACTATATTTCTTTTCTTATTCTTGTAAACTATAAGCAATAAATTAGAGACAAATAAAAGATCTTAGAAATAAATATTTTGAGAAGAGCCAACACAAGTTCCTAAAAGTCAAGTCGACGATTTCAAGTCATAACCCCTTAAAAACTATATTTGAGAGACAAATTAAAAGGACTCAACTTAAAGGAACACAACTTTAAATGTTACAAATTAGATCTCCATGGAGTTGTAGGACACTTTGGAGATGCTAAACAATCTCATCACAATAAATGATACTCAACTTAACAATACACAACTCAAAAGTGTCCTACAAACATTAGAGATCATCACTCTAATACTTATCTTAATTATAAGCAGCCTCTAAATCCCCTTAAGAAAGAGATTTTTGCCACACACATCCCCAAGCAATTTTGTAAGAATGTAACCAAACCCAGGTGAAGTACTATTACATGAATCAAACATTCAAACATTATATCGACATTAATGAAACAATTGATTCTCCTTTCTCAAGGCATCAATTTGCAATCGCCACTCCAAAACATACTAACCAACATTGTATCGACAATAAAGAAATAATTGATTCTCCTTTCTCAAGGCATCAATTTGCCGGGACATTAATAAACGGATTGAATGTCAAATAAGGCTTCAAAGTACGTCTATCCGCGTACTGGTTGGTACCTATCGGTGATCGGACGCCAATAAGAGGCTCAGAATACATTGCTCAGAAGCCAAGCGTAACAAAGGCACTTCATCGAAGACCCAATTTGGTTGAAAGGATCTTCTTACGTGTTAGCAGCTCATCATAGCAATGTTTTCTCGGTGTTGACGAAAACCACACAGGCGAACGCTAAATAAGCAGGTTTAGAATCGATACTGCTTAGTCTTTTGAAACACATGGCTGTTTCATACGGCCAAAAAGGAAAACTCGAATGCATTATAGAAAATGAAGCGCCAATCATGCATATCTCCACAAATTGCTACAAGAAATATCAATTGTTTGGCGAGCTAATCTACATCATGTAATGAATGATACCTAGAACTCAGTGAACGCTTGCCTGCTTCTAGTCCCAGAATCAAAAGACAGAGACACTGAATGCTTAGAATCAAGGGAAAGGGAACCCGAAATCGTTGCCAGAGACGGAAAAAAAGGACAAGAACGAATGACTTGCATAATCGGGGATCAAGCGATTTTTAACACAAATCAATTTTGTATCGAAGCAAAGAGTAAAATCCTGGAGAAACCGAAACAATCAGCGAAAATCCAACTGCGCAATATCACAAGTGCACAAACTTTGACCGACAAGAGGTCTCCTCACTACAACCAAGGACCACGGGTCTCCGGCTGAAATCATTCGCGAAGCCCCTAGAAACAGTGGAACAAAGGCAACGACGAAGGATTCGGCGAAAGAAAGGGGAGAGGAAACGAGGAGGTAAGGTCGCCTCCGCAAGCGAATGGGAGGACGCGAACGAATCGGAAGCTCGGACCACCACCGCTTATATAGCGCTGGAGGTCCGAAAACCCTAAAGCGTTCGGCCGATCGCCTCCTCGTGTTATGACCTAAGTGCCCCTGGTGGCCGATTTGTTCGTTCCTTATGTTAAGACGAAAGTACCCTTGAGCGTCCAAGAACCAACGGTTTCAGATCCGTATGTTATGACGAAAGTACCCTCGATCTTCCAAGAACCAACGGTTTTAGATCCATGGGCTAAATAAATAGCAAATGCAATAGAGACGCATGTAATGACGGAAGTGCCCCCGTAGGACCCAAGAATTCCAATCGACTCCAACGTATTTGGAGCCTTCTGATGCCTCGAGCAGAGTGAAAGGGAAGCCTTCATCCAAAGCTTTGGGGCCGGATTTGAAGTGAGAAAAAATTGTGACAAATACACAGCTGAAACTTATACAGATTAATTTTAATTTTCGTGCATTAATGGCTCCTCACAAGTATGTGCTTTCGCTGGACCGACAGCAGAAAGCGCCTCAAAGAACGGGAGGAGGTCGCTAACAAGTCTCTCGTGAATTCATATGACCACGGAAAGTCTCGCCAGCTCCCAAAGCAATATGAAGAACAAGAAGAAAAAGACGCATATCGCATAGAGAAGGAATGCCACAAAGCGTCTCTTCCTTGTGCTGTAGGCGATGATAGGGCATGTAAGCGAGTTGGGAACAAAACTGAAAAGGACAAGTAGTTCAGGAAAAAGGAAACGAAACTAAGATTTAGAGATGATAAAAAAAAAAAAATCCACAGTATTAATCGAGGTACTAACATTGAGAACTAGTCATACCACTCCTCTCAAAGAATCCAGTTTTTGATGAAATAAGAGACTGAATTCAAAACCATAAAAGAACATAGGAAAAGCTTATCGAAATTTTTTGATGAACAGGACAAAGATTTAGCTTCTCAAAATTTTTCGATGAACATGACAAAGCTCCTCGAAACCATTAAGATTTTCAATGCTACATCAAAACTCGAAGCATTATATCTTCGTCTTGGATGTCTACATCATATACAGTCATCATATCAACCTCGGACGGACTGAATATGTTTCGACCTGGCTACAGACACAGCTCAACAATTCTCCCTTTCCCCAATGAACTGCAATGAGATAAAAGATATGGACAACATTATGCATCAAACAAGCAGTAGAAATTTACAGTGTCAGTGACCGAGAAATGCCAAGTAGGTAGAAAGCACACACTCATGACCGAGTCATGCTTTGAGAAAAGTCATTGTTCCAATACACTTGATGTTAGCTATTGCTTGTCAATCGTGTTGACGAGCTCAATGCTTCAGTGATCCTACTGAAGACGAGTCTAAGTGGAACACATGCAACGGCAGGTCCCACCATCTTTTCAACCACTGGCTTTCTCTCTTCTCCCTTTTCTTTCTGATCAACATTAATTGATGACAGCCTTCTGATCTTTCTGGGAGACAACCTTGGTTTCCTGTTTTTCGAATATTTCCTTTTCAATGAAGTAACATTTGTAACTTCACAGTTTATCCCAACAACATTGAGATACATCTGGGCCGACTTCCTTTTAGGTAGCGATTTCCCAATACTATTTCCCCCATCCTTCAGTGACTGATCAATATGCCTGGTAGTTAACAGAGTATCGACTAAGCCATCTTCCACAACCTCTATAGGAACGGGGTGACCGACAATTTCTTTACTATTTGATTTACTCATGAGAGATATTAGAGGTACATGAGGTCCACGATAGCTTGATTGTACAGTCACTTCAACATCGTATAGACAAGAACCCACACCTGTAAATTTCAGTTGCTTCGACACCTGATACTTAGAGCTAGTTGATAGAGAAACCTGGCCATGAGGAAACAATCGTTGAATCAGCAGAGCGGAGATAGGCACATGTCTCTTGGATGATCTATCTTGATCTCTTGCATGTGCAGGCTGAATTTTTACAAGTTCTGACAGGGAATGTCCATGTTCATCAGAAAGGTGAAGATCAGAACTCTGATTTGGGGGAACGTCATGTACCTCTGAGACTGATTCATCCTTCACCAACTGACCACCATGAGAATTGGAGGTCACGGATTCACCAAAACAACTGCCATCAATTTTACAACCTGCAAAATACCTTTCCTCCTGTATTTTACCCTTCAAGGAACTGTCAGGAACAGCCCCATTCATAAAGTTTTCTGAACTTGTATTTTTGCTAAACCTTGAATTGTTCAGGTTCTTTTTATGGTTTAAATGCCGTTCCAAGGACCTTTTTTCTGTTTCCCCTTTGATGTTCTTAAACCGACCCTCCGAGCCAGTGAAGCTACTCTCACCAAGTCCTTCTGTGAAGTGTGATTCAAGTTCATCCTGGTGGCAACCATTATGTTGCTTTTCTGCTACATCAGGGTGAAGATCTCTAGTTGGAAAGTGTTCAAACATGATTGAAAAATCTGGAACATCATATTACAAACAAGTTAGTCATTTTTACAATCAAGATTATTGCATTAACATGGAAGACAAAAAGTGCACATTCTCTGCATTCTAAATTGTAATTATGTACATAACACCAACATCATAGTAACAGAAGAATAACATCTAGTTATTTCAGTGCTGATAATTTTATTTGGCACAGTTTATAGTCTCACACATATGGTTGCCTTAAACTTATGTTTCTTTAAAACAACTAAGCACCTTTATAGATCAAAACTAACTAACGAATAAACAAGTGAGAGAAAAGAAGTTGGAAAGCAACAAAGTGACATGAAAAGATTACAGAACGAAAAAATAGTCAGCAAAAAATCCTGACATATTATCAAGTTCCCAAAAAGATATATGATTAATATATCAGTAGTAAGAATCTGCATTAACAAGATTAATTAAACATGAATTTACCAGCAAACAAGGGTAAATGCTGAGTCTTTGGTATCATCAGGTAAAGACATTCAAGTCAACTCCTAATAAAAGAAATTTTAAGGGTAATGTGGGTGTGCAAAATACAGACACCATAACATTGTTTGGTGAAAGAAGCAAGCTTACATAAGCATAATTTGAAATATGTAATTTCCTCAAAGAATGACAAAATGTTCTACATGTATATCTCCTCACAAACTCATGCAAAGTTGGTAGTCACTACAGTAGAAATTGTACTTACGACAGTGTGCATAATATCCTACTGGTGCATGCTGCAGCATGCCTGTGCATAATTGATGTAGATCGAGAGGTCATGAATCGGTCTAGGTTAAGATGGGCCATATTACTTTTTCTGTTTTTAAATATTTAAGAAAATTCTCATTGCTTCTTTATATTTTGGAAATAAATATCAATGAGTTTGAGTCCCAAAAAACCAAGGACTCAAACTCACAAGCTATACTGCCATCTTTATATTTTGGAAATAAATATCAATGCTTTTACGTCAGAAAAATAAACAATGAATAAGCCATGGTCATTAGTTTCTTACAACAAGGGGGGGGGAAAGACAAATTTTTGGAGCTTGATTGTTGATAGAAAGGTCCTATGATCGAATCTCATCTTTGACGCTTACCAAAGTGAAAATAAAAAGAGCTTAAGGGATAATAGTAACAATATTCTTAACCTACTAGCTTAACAACACGAAAAATTCAAGATGTATATGAACACTTAAACAGTAGTAGAAGTCAAGACTTGCAATCAAGGTAAGATAAGCTGAACTGCAACACGGATATGATAAACAGAAATGCACTCTCTACAACCATAGGTAATACTTGTTTACAAGGAACGCAGTCTCATACCGACTGGCCATATCAGTCCTAGTCGAACAGGTACATACATACCCACTGATATAAGTGTATGGCACATGGTACACGAGTATGTACCAATGAAATAGATGGCAGCGGAGAAGAAAGGAGGAAGGAGGAAGAGGAAGTAAGAAAAGAGGCAGTGAAGAAAGAGGAGGAAGAAGAAAAAGAAGGAAGAGGAAAGAAGAAGAGGTGGCCGTGGAGGAAGGAGGAAGGGGGAAGAGGAAAAGGATACAAGAAGGATGGAGGAAGAAGAGGAGGAAGAGAAGGAAACATATCTGAAACGACAGCAGGCAATGGGCGGCGGGCAGTGAGAGGTGATAGCAATGACTCGGATGAGTGTCGGGGAAGAGAGCTAACGAATGCAAGCCCAAACTTGTTTTTTTTTTTATTGGTTGGAACAGACTGCCTGAAACGCGATAGTCCATGTACCATTCTATGTCCAAACCGGTATGCTTTACTTATCTGAGCAAAACAGCATTCCTCGGTTGTGTACATATAATCCTCTCCAACCTTCCATTGGCACAAAAAATCATGTACCAAGCTATAGTTAGTAATAAATTAAGTAGACGATAAGAAAGAGATGACACTCATCCAAGAATATGACTGCAAGAATCTAGAATTCATCAAAAAAGGAAAAAAAATTATAATAGAAACAAACCCTCAAATGTAATAATCCAGGTGAAAAAAATTTCTGGATAAGTACCTATGATGACCAAGTATGCAGCATAAGGACACATCTTAAACTAAAACTGGGTTTAAGCTACAAGAAGCATAAAAATCCTTATAGTATGTCAATACCAATATCCCACTCTACAGTGGGCAGCTGCAAAATCCAAGTTCGTTGACAAGGTAACATTGACAGATTATCTGGTATAACAATGGCATCCAAGTCATGTAACTTAGTAATGCCAATTTATGATCAGAATGGCATAATAAATGGCACATGAATGCACTGAAAATGCCTAACATTAGTTTACCATGCTGAAGCAACAAGATGTGTCATCTCATGCAATTTAACTTTAAATGTCAGGATCTTCATTGTTATTCAAATTTAGAAATAGAAGAAAATTATAAGAAGATCAATTTTTAACACAAACAAAGGAGGAAATTTGTAAGCATACCTTCCCTGATATTGTCTGCCATTATCAGGGGAATATCAATGAGGCCATCGGAGCAGTCATTGTCAATAAACTCCAACATGCTCGCAAGCTCCGAGTCCTTTACTTCAGAATCAAAATTTGCATCATCAATTTCACGAGTGTTCTCACAAGCATTCAACAATGCCTCACTTGAAGTTCCTGAACAGTGTGGGCTGACGGTGATGTCACATGAAATATCTGTCCTCCTTGAATTAGATAGCAATTCATTCAACTTATTTGGAGAAGCCCCTTGAAGAGATGGTTGCCCTCCAAAAGCACCATCCCAGTGACAATATGATGGAACTATAACTTTAGTACCCTCGCAAACTTTACTAAGTGCTAGTCGACGATCTTTTCTTCTCACATTCTCATGAGATTGGGCCACATGTGATCTCTTCCTTTTCAGGGATGAAAAAGAATCTTTGCTGCTCTTTATTGAACTCAAACTAGAAAATCCATCATAAATGTCTGACTTGCTAAGTGAAGCATTGTCAGGAAGGCCTAGCTCAGTGGACCATCCTGTGCTAGCATGCACATTAGGCTTTCTATTGGATACAACCCCCAAACCTATTTCCTGAAGATCTCTCATTCGTTTTATTCCTTCGTTATCTTCTGAATCATTTGGAGTTTTCCTTCTTTTTTTTTCTGATTGCTTAATATCAGGAGAAATCAGATCGTTTGTTTGTTCATATGACACTAAAGATTGAGATACCTCTTGAGCCGAATTCTCCTCAAGAACATCGAGTTTCCTGGCCACATGACCTAATTGTTTGTCAAGCCCATATACCTTTCTTGACTTCATGGGAAAATCATAACCCATTGTTCTGAAAGGGTCCTTCACTCCTGAGCCATTCTGCTTCCCAGTAAGGAAGTAAGCCTTTTCAATCTCCAGGGCATGGAGAATGGCATCTTCTCTGCGAATGTACTTCCCTGTACTGGTTGAACTTTTCTTTGAACGGATTGCAAAAGCCATGGCCTTCTGAATGCACTCATCAAACTCCCCACAACGAAATGCTTTGACACGAGTTGATTTTGCAAGATTATACCAGTCCCTGATTGCAAGTTGATTATTAGCAAACTTAAGCTTATACTGACTGCATGGTACTTAAACCATGAAATAGAAAGGTGAACAGATATAGCATATGTGCATATAGCTACTTTGCTCAGATTTTGTAACCGCATAATTCAAGATACAGAAAATCATGCACCAAACATAAATAAACGAAAGAAGGCACAATCAGTATCATTGTTGTTGCCATGTTCCTTGTTATTTTCCAAGATGTCACTGAGCAACTTAGGTTGGCCTTGATGCACAACTGTTAAGTCAATAAGGCTCCATGGAAGGTTTGAGTTGCCTTTTTTTTATAGCTCTCTGTCTAAAGTTGACTAAAAAATTACCATCAAATCCCAGCCAAAATAGAAGTAGTGGCAGCAAATGAACTCATTTTACATCCCTTGTCTTTAAAGCCAGCTGAAACAATGGTGTGAGGTAGAATTAAAAAAAAAAAAGACAATGATCCATATGGTTCATGTTAACAGAATCGGCTACTAATAAGTGTTCAGTGTTAAATCTTATCATCTGATCTTCAGTGGATATGAGAATAGAAAAAAAAGAAAATCTGTAACCAAATACAAAACAGAACATCATTCAAGATACGAAGAATATTCAGGCCACTTAAAATAGGCAGAAGAAGGGGATCTACAGATGAGGATACTCACATGCTCCCATCTTCTCTACCAAGAAGCTTGATGGGAGTCCCTGATCTCGGCGGAAGCACACATTTCGCTGGCAATTCATCCCGACCAACAACCCGGCCCGGCCACCATGACCCGTTAGGGCGACGCACCCACACGAGGCCCCCAGCCGACACATTGTTGCTGCTCAAAATCCCATCTTGTTCACTGCCCATAGAAAAAGAACTCGAATCCACCAAATCAAGAATCACACGATGTCGTACTGCTCCACCTACAAAGGGAACCGACGAAGCAAAACAAGAACAAGAAGAAACTGTTAGGTTACTGAACCACTCATGCATGGGTTTCTTGAACCATCAGCCCAAAACTCGTTGGAGAAGGATTAAAAATGAAAGATAAGAATGGGGGAATATACTCCATTATGCATTAGAGGAGGGGGAGAGGGGGTTGGGAGAGAGGGAAATCCTAGAACAGATGCTGCTACCTCGAATAACCAAGAAAACAGAAGAGATATGCGAAGTGAACAAGGAAGAAACTTTCAAAGAGCACTAAAAACTCTTCGATAGAAGAAGAAAGGCAACGAAACAAACCAAAGGAAATAAAAGAGACGAGCTATTCTTCGACGGAGAGGAAAGAGGGAAAGGAGGCTCTCCCCGGCAGAGGAGAAACAAGGACCAAAGGGACCAAAAAAACTGAAAAAAGATGATTAAAAACGAGAATAAGAATCAAGGACGGGGAGATGATTTCCATCTGCACCTCTCCTACCTCTTCTTTCGGGTTCGTCGCTATAGAAAGCGGCTCGATCTTGTTTTCTCCATTACACTTAGTTGCCGGGACAGCTGCGGAAGAGAAGGTTGGTGGGAGCGGAGATGTCTGCAATGGCAGAGAAGGGAGGAGAGAGCAGTGTTGGGATGCGTTTCCTTTAGGAAGAGGTGGAGAGGAGGAGGAGGAGCGACAGACGGCGAAGCGAGTGAGGAAGGAGGGGGCGAGAGAGAGAGAGAGACAGAGAGACAAAAGTGCGAGCAGGAAGCAGCGCATCCGGCGCAGGGATTAGTACGAGTTGGGCTTTGGCCCGGCCAAATGGGACTCGGTGCTGGTATCTTCAGGACTCGAGTGACGCAGGAAGACGAAAGAACGACATCGGCGGACACACATGGCGACGAGCTGCTCATCACCGATGATCCCGTTCTTAATCCAACTGTGCCTACCGTTCACATACCAATTATTCATAAACAAACGACAAAGATCTTAACAGCCGTCAAAGAAAAATAGGGTTTCGACTCTCATTTCGTTTAGATATTAGTTTTCAGAGAAAGAACAAAAAAAAAAAAAAAGAAGCCATCTGTAGCCGATCTCACTGTCATAATGTTTTATTATTATTATTTTTTTTCTTCTATCAAAATTTCATTTGATTTTATTATTTTAAATTGATCAACGAAACGGTCCGACCATAACCTTTCATTTCATGGTCAGGACATACATATATATTCAGTAATTTAACGTCCAAAACTTGAGCAGCAACCATGAACACATCTAAATTCCAAGATGATACAAGGAAAAGCAACAACCATGAACACATCAAGAGTTTCAACACAATGTTGTTTACCAATATCGCATCAATACCAATCCCAAATATTTAAACCTCATCTTTATGCATGTTTTCGCTGAACCCATAAGTACTTCGTCACGCCTCAAGTGCTTCAAAACAAAGATAAAAGGATTCCTCGCAGGAGCAATGTCGCCAATAATATATGATCAAAGAAATGAGAGCGTATCATGTATAAAACGCAAATATCACTCGATCAACTCGTAAAAATGGCACCAAAAAGGAGAAAGTAGCACATTTGTGGAAGCTATTTACCAAACAATAACCAGGATATTTTAGGTCCCGTAACAAATAAAAGTCATCTGTACTCCAGATTTAACAGTACAAGTCCTCTTGATCTTTTTCTGTGTTCCACATGTCAAACCACTCTGGCTTTATACACGCAGATGTATGCCATGTGCCAATCACCTGCCAGAAATGTTCAACTTCGTTTGAGCAAAAGTCCAACAACAACAAAAAAGTTCAATAATTCTCTCTTTTAAGTGTCTTACCACCGCCAGATAGTTTTGTAATATCTTCTTCCCTTTGTGGGATTGGATTGTCATCATCATATTGAATCCATTTTCCTGCATCATCAGCAGTTTTCACGATAAGAAACGAAATGAATGACAAAGGGCAAGCAAAGGAATATCTAAGCCTATTAGACAGACCATTTTCTTGTTTCACCCAGGCAACGTAGTGCCCAGAGTCAGCACTCCTTCCCTTGTGAGTAAGCACAGCTACCAAATCATAAATTCCAGTTAACTGCCCCTTATCTTCAGAAGATACAGCTGTCGACATCAGAGCAAAGAAAATAAGCGACTTTGATCTAAATTGGTAGGTATCATCCCCTGTAATTTCATAGTTCATATAAAAGTCAGGCATCTTGTGAATTTATCGATTGGTGGTGTTTACTTATGTAATGATTCATGAATCTGTAAGTTATCAAGTTCCTTAACCTGGACGAACAAACTATGCTTATTGCTGTGTAACATGGAGGAGATATTAGGGGTATCATCCTCAGATGGAGCCATGACCTGTGGAGTCTTTTAATTAGTCTTCCCATGGTTTAAACATGAGGAAACAGCAAAGAACAAACAAATGCATGCAAAGCATTTCCCCCCTTCCCTTCCTTTTTAATGTTCTATGTAAATTTAGCTGCATCGTTTCAATGTTCTGTGTAAATTTGGCAGCACTCTGTCTAGTTTTTTTCGAGAGAAGCAATACTGATAAGCACCTCTCATAAATGAAAGGACAGAAAATTGAAAGAGAATAAAAATAAAAAGTATGGAGGTTGGGTAGGGAAAACAAATGGAATTTATAACATGCATTACAATAATGAAAAGAAATCTAGGAAACCAACAACATGATAACTTGTTGGTTGCCAATCCTTCATACGCAAGGGTCTTGTATACACAGATGCATTAGGGTGCAGGTGTAGATAATAAGCGGATGAGCTATGATCCACATCAGTGAGCACCAGACATGATCTTTGTTCAGTAGAAAGAGGATCCATGGTGAAAACCATAAAGAAGTTTCTCAACTTGTGTTCGGAAAAAAGATACCATAGGACACCCAGTATTTTGCAATACTTCTCAACTCTAAAGAAGTATGCACTGAAAGTTCTTAATTTTGCAATACCACAAAAGACGCCCAGTATGTTCATCCCGACCACAAAATTGTCATAAACACACATCCCACACCCCCACCCAAAAAAATGAAAAATTGATGCACCTAATGAACCAACACAAATCATGATTCCAATACACCCATATATCCATCTGAACACAGTATGTGGTGTGCTATGTATATGAGATTTCACTAAAGTTTGATGATGCTGAATTCAGACACCATAATATTGATTGGAAAGAAGGGGATCGTAAAAGAACCAAACCTGAAATGCAGTTAGACCACTAAATGGGCCAAACTAAGGACAGAATCATACATGTCAGGCCCAAGTCAGATGCAGGTCAGCCTGTACCAAAAACCCTAACCCTACCCTTGGTCATCAGAGAAAGGAAGAATACAAGTTCATCTGATGAACTTCGGAGGCAAATGATATGTCAACAATTATAAGCATTTGAGATAGTCATGAAGGATGTTATCAATCATAAATAGGGCTTAAATTGTTGACAATGAAATGCGTTGAGAAGCATGATTAAGATGGCAATTGGGAAATACAGAAAACACAAGAAACATCATACTATTATAAATTAATGCCTTCGAGCTGCAAGCAAATAATTGGGATGCAAGACCACTGTGATGGAGAGTGATATCCGACTACACGACCTTTTGTTAAACTCTACATGGACCTTCATACATCAACAATAACTATCAATTACCTTTGTCAAGAGCCATGCTAGATGGTTCACTACTATCATTAGATGACCCCTGCAGAACATTCAAGAAAACAAAGAAAAAGAGAATAGAGTTAAGCAAGTGAAGCAAGTGAAGCAACTTATTCTAGCACATATTTACAATAAACCAGCCTCTTCATAAATATTTGTGATGCTAAAATGACTTCTTGACACTGTGTCACTTCTCAGAAGGCCTTAGCATTACTACCTAAATGCTGCTATGATTACTATTTTGCAATCTATAAGGTGGGTACCATATCCAATTTTAGTATCAGTTGAGAAGCTGCTAAGCCTAATTAGCACCTTGTTACCGCTTGTCCGATCCAACTCAGTGAGTTCAATGACAATAGATTCCAACCTTTATACTTACTATTCAATACCAAAAGAACTGCAGGTCTAATCAACAATATATATGCAATTTATATATGTTCAATGATTATTGGGCTCACCTAATCATTGATTTACATACCAAAAGAAAGAGGGCTGTCTTGATTTACATACCTCTGATGTAGGCATGTTGACTTCATGTTCCTTCTTCTTGTCTTCTACTTTTAATCCAAGCTTGACATTTTCTAACTCTCGTAGTGTCTTATCCATGTCAATTGAGCAAATCACGGGTAAATTATAAGAATATCAGTAAAATATTGTAATTTTCCGTCAAACTAAAGGGCACAAAAGAAAGGTGGGCAAAACCTGACGAGGAGTCTGAAGCTTTTGACGAAGTTCATCTGAACAGAACTCATAAACATCAAGTTCCAAAGGATAATCCACTTTCTGAAAAAAAAAAAGGGAAACAAAATAAGCTTCCATGTCCATGGCAAGGACCACTGAAACTCTTGATAGTTATTGCCAGATTCAAATCATTTAACAAACATACACAAAAGAAAAAAGAATATCACATGAATTCACCTATAAAATTTACAAAGGAAAGCGGCACTCCAAAGATACACGATAAAGTATAAAACTAACATACCCGCAATATTTTTGCCTTCTGGTTAGACTCCCTTTTCCAGAAGAAACGAACAAACTGAACAGTCAGATACCTGAGAAGGAAATCAAATAAGAACCATCTTCAAAACAATGAACAATCAAGTCCCGGAGAAGGAAATCAAATAAATAACCATTTCGAGAAAAAATATTAAAACTATTTTTAGAAGAAAAAAACCACTTTAAAATTTTATAAAAGAAACAAAAAAAGTGAAAAAACTAGACTTGCCTGGGCAATTCACTAATGCATGATTCTTTTGAAAAAACTGCACTGCGTCCCAAAGAAGTAGACATCTTCTCTAGTTCTGACTTTAGGCCCTGAAGTGAACAAAAAGCACTGTGAACATCAGATAATGAACATCCAACACAAACATAGACACATAGACACCTAACTAATATATATTCTAGAATTTGGCTTTTATTTGGTATAGCTATAAAATATTTTATATAAATTTCCAAAAAAGCTTATGACTAATGACACTTACACGTCTGAGCCCCTCATGCAAGTGGTTGATATCCTGCGAGATATGGCATTTTAGTGCATAAACCGATTCATTCTCAAAGCTTTCTTCACTGCTTTCTGCACAATAGACCCTGGAATAGATAATAAAATGTCAAACAATTCGTCATCAAAATCCAGTGAAATAAGCAGATAATAACCAAAATGGCATTTTAATTTAAAGATGGATGTTCCACACCAAACCCCACATGAGTGGGAAAGGTGCATTCGACCGTCCATTTGTTGCACATCCAAGTTCAATATCATGAGAACAACAGAAAAGAAATATTTTGGAAAACAAAACACCTCAGACACAAAGTCCAACTCAAGATTGCTTTGTTAACTATCTTCTTTTATTTAATATGTTGCATAAAACATATACAAGGATGCACTGGTACAAATATTATTCTACCCAGGATTTGCCACCCAAGTAATGCCCTCATATCTCTTCCTTGTTGGCATGATGCATCCCGTATATCATGTCCTGGGCTGGCATGTTAGTCATCTGTTTCTGCCAACAGTCAGTGGATAACATTTTGGTAAATCCAGCTTTAGAAGATGAATTTTCATAAACTAATGGGTTCTAATTTGTTTTATTCTAATGTACAAAAGTTTTAGACCTTGCACGCTTATGTCAAAATGTAAGAATTCATTAACAATTTTGATTTTCAGGTTTGAATAATTAACAAAAAAACAATACCTACCAGATAATCTCAATTAGTTCATGATATTCTTCAGTAAAATGTATTTAATTTTTGATAAATGGACAATTTAATAAACCTAAGTCTTGAAACTCAAACATCATTTAAAGTTGTTGTAAATCAAGCAATGAAGCAAGATTAAATTTTCTATCAATGAAAAACAGAATTATGGATCAACCATTTAGTTTGTTTTTCCTATGGCAAGGACCAAGATTAGCAGGATTGCAAGTGAATCTAGAAGACACCATTTGATATGACACAAAGCCTATTAGGAACCCTTGCTACAATCAACATTTTTATTTCACAATTGCTTCATTATTTATAAATTTAGTTTAATTTTTCAATAATATTAAACACTCTTATATGCAAGGTATGCAATATCATACCGTACCGGTGTTTCAAGGTTGGCTCGATACAGTACGGTACCGGCATACCGAGCTGTACATCATGGCATACCGAGCAGTACATCAGGACTTACCGAGCGATTTCCTCTTACTATATCACTGTAGCATTGCTACAGTGTAGCACTGTAGCACTGCTACAGTGTAGCACGGTCTGTCCGGTAACGGGCGATCCGCGTACCGGTATACTGTCGGACCGGTACGTACCACCCGTATCGAACAGTACCATTCAAAATTACATACCATGCTTATATGTGCTTGCATGGATAAAACATATTTGTTCAAAGCTTATTTTATAATTTTTTCAGCAAGGAAACAAAGATTTGAAAGCATCTTTCACCACAAAAGAAGTGAGTTATGATAAAAAACAGAATGTAGAATTCACCTTTCATTTTGAAATTACATAATTTTTCTTGAAATTCATATTCATTAATATAAGAGGCTTCTTTTTCTATCCTCTAAAGGAAACTAGACAACAAGTTACTGAAGACACCTTATTTAGACAACACAATTTATGAAAAAACATGAGCTGTTCATTGAAACGTACAACTGTACATGTGAAAAATCATGCATATGTTGTTGGATCAGCAAAGTAATATCTAGCAATGGGGTTATTTGTGAAACAAAAAAAGTCCCATGCTAACCCATCAAGACTGTAATTAACTTCTATTCATTTTAACCACAATAACAATATCATAGTAGGTTTGGTACATGCATGGACTAGACCAATCCAAACTTAAACCCATCAGAAATTTTCAAGGGGCTTGAAATGAGCTTTTATGAGCATGGTTCAGAGTGCGGTAGGGATCCTCTAACTTCACTTAAATGTTAAGACTCGAATGAGAAGTACATCCCAGTTACATTGACAAACACCCAGTCAAATGCAACCAAGATTGATATTTTTTATCCATAATTGGTTGGATGATGTTGAGATGGTAGTTTGACCAAGTAAAAGGGTTGGTTGCTGATGGAAAGAGCAATTTTAGTTTAGAACCAGTCAAGGTGGTGGGTTCTGACTGTATAATAAATCAGGTGAGTAAAAAGCAATTTTCAATAAGAATATGGATTTATCTCATGCTCCTGTTTTGAATAAACAGACCTGGTGTATATAATAGCTGATATCCAATAGCTTTAGCATTGTTATGACGAAATCAACCCCTTAGGTGGAAACTGTCACGGCTTAATTAGTCCCACACAGAGTATGGATGGTGGGATGGGCATTGGGTTGATCTAAAATCCTTAATAGGCTTACAGCTACTAACTTGGGGATATATATTTTGGCCACCTGATTTAGGACATGTACATCCAGGTTATTAGTCATATGTACCTATCAACATAGCCTCTTAACTTTAGCCTCCATAAACCTTATCCCTAATCTGGCAAAAAGATCAACGTGCACCCTCCCAACCCCTGAAAATCTAATATCTGCCAGTGAGCTTTCCATCTCCGGCTCCTCCATGATGCATGCTTTACCTCAACTTACTAGTTTTCCCAGGTAGCCTTCATCCCTACCCCTCCCTGTCATGTTCTCTGTCTCTTTATTCTCACTCCCATCCACTTCCCCTCAATGAAACCAATACTAGAGTCCGAGGCATGTCAATATATATCCATGGACAGCATATGACAAAATCTATTATAACTTTTGCCTCATTCCATTGACAAATTAAAGCTAGTTTTTTTTTAAAATAAATATGGGATATCTGTGGGGCAGAAATTTGGTGCTACGAATTATTACAACTAAATTTGCACTGGTCAGATATAATTATGATGCATAAGGAACAATTAATCTAGATAGACCAAACCGAGATACAACCTCCGCCTGAAATTCATTTGGGTTGGATTCAGGGCAAACACACCAGATCAGGTCATGGGAAACATTGTAAAACCCGACTTAGGGTTAAGAAATATAACCCAACCAAATATGCCCAAATAGTAATTCCAATGTCAAATAATCAACAATGATAATGCTGAAGCAACGTGTATCTGTACCTGTTGACAAGGCCAACACCAAAGAGTGCCTTCACTGTCGCAGATGCTTCACTGAATAGTATTAACGAGAAGATACACATGTTTAGATCACGAAAATCAAATTACATGATTACACAAAACTTAAATTACTATACAAAAAAGAAAAACAAACTACAATGGCAAACAACAAAAGAGCCTAAAATGTTGATTGACTGAGAATACCTGGCAGAATTCTGAGAGCTTCATCAACACAAGATTTTTTAAAAAAAATACAAATTCCATGAGGCAGTTGCAGGTTAATGACCACGTTCCTAGTGTTAAAAAGTTTTCCACAATACTATGCAACATGATTCATTGTGAAATGCAATGCATGAAATGTGAGTGGCTGCAAGCATAGCAAAAGGGCACACGCCGATGCACAAATAATTTCCTGCAGTCTTCCAGAGTGAGACACAGGATGCAGTGTAGTTTGCACCATCATGATCACAAATGAACTCACTAACTTCAGTAAGCATGTGCCAGCATGGCATGTTGCTTACATTGCCAACCCATTGACAGTAGCATGGCATGTTGCTTTCACTGCCAACCCATTACCAGTAGCATGCCATGTAATGGCTCAATCAAATCAACAGAACTAAAAACACTGCCAATGGATTAGGATCGGCATAAGGTCTTTCTAAATTTCCTTATCTCTTCGCTGAATTAGTTCAAGAAGAAACTGACATCTAGAGAAGAGTAGGTGCTAGCAGCTTTAGTTATGCTAAAAAAACTAGCCAATATTTTGTCTTATAGAGTTTTGACAAATTAAGAATGAGAGTTTAAATACCCAAGAAAACAAGATCAAACAGAGATGACAGTTACCAAAGGACTAAAACTTCAAAAAAGAAGAGATTAGGATTTTCCACGAAGGACTAAAAGCTTTAACACAGAGATACTAGTCATCAGAGGACTATTCTAGTAGAAACATTCTGTTCAAAGTGCCTTAGATTGATTACTCAAGGATGGGACAACAGGTGCTTGCATACTACTGTAGCCAGCTAATGTCGTGGCATCGAAAAGACAGTTACCAAAGGACTAAAACTTCAAAAAAGAAGAGATTAGGATTTTCCACGAAGGACTAAAAGCTTTAACACAGAGATACTAGTCATCAGAGGACTATTCTAGTAGAAACATTCTGTTCAAAGTGCCTTAGATTGATTACTCAAGGATGGGACAACAGGTGCTTGCATACTACTGTAGCCAGCTAATGTCGTGGCATCGAAAAGACTACTATTGTAGCAGCAAGTTGTCTATTATCATTTTTAGTGTCATATAGTTTATTGCACAAATACAAGGAAATACAAGGGCCACTATGAATAAAGAGTGATCAAACAAAGAAAACAAAGAATATTCTAAAAAGGAAGAGAATGAATAAGATGAATAAAAAAACATGGTCTTGACTAATAAGCAAATAACACAATTTTAATGTAAGTGCAGATATCATACAAGGCAATTCAATTATAGCATAGGATAACTATAGGTAGCATCTACATAAGACAACAGTCTTAAGTCATGTGTTTCCTAATTTTTTATATTAATTGATGAAATTTTGTCCTTTCTGTAGTGGTTACATTAAAGAGTATCTAGTCTTATTTGGAATTGTATTTCTTACTAGGGTCATATTTAAGGTATTAATTAGATTATGATGCCAAGAATTGTGTCATGAGTTTCTGGCAACATCAGTATTGTTTGCTGGATGAGTCAGGAGAGCCAACCACAAGACAAAGAAATAGGAGGAAAGAAAAGAAATGGCTGATGCCTAAACCCCCCTTCTCCTCTAGGTTAGCCTTTCACTAGTAGGAGCAGAACTTTGTAGGAACTTGGTATCTTTAATATTTATGAACTACAAAAAAGTTGTGCATGTAGACAGATGTGGTCTACACAAGCCTTGAATCATCCATTTTGCCTCATGTGGGGTAAGTCCAACAAATAAATGGTGATTTACAATTTACTAAAGGGTTATATTCAGCCTCTTGTATGCTGATAGTAGCGATTCTTCTCTATCAGTGAAAAGGCACCTTTTTCTTTCTCATTTTTGGTCCACTCTCTACCTCTCTCCTTTGTCTGAATATAAAAAATGATTTATTTGTTTTACATTAATTTCCTAGAAGTGATCCTTGTAATCAACCATTTATTGTCTATTGTAAGAATGGAGCTTGATCTTGAATTCATTAATATTTTCTAGCAAACAAAAACCTAGCAGTGATTCTAAAGGTTCAAGAAGCAATAGATTTTCTTCCAAAAGAGTAAGACAACCATTTCATCATTGTTGAATATCATATACTAGGAATGCATCAGATTTACATGGTCCTGGAATTATTAGTTCCAAATAGAGAACTTTTATGATATCCGATAAACAACATATAAAGGAAAATCAAAATAAATAACGCAAGCTACTTGCTAGAATTGAACTACTACTAAGAGGCCAAGAACCAAATGAAAGAAAGCACCTGGAATCTGATGATCTAAGAGATTGAGAAAGTGTGTACATAAGCTGGGTCCAACATTCTTCAGCATCCTGCAATAAGGAACAGAACAACATTTTCCAACATTCATCATGAAGGAGATGCAAACAAAATACAAGAAAACATATAAAAACATAAAACTGAAAATAAAAACCTGCTGCATGTAACCACCGTTATGCTGCTGGGCAAACTGAGGATACTTTTTACGTAAAATCTGTTCCCAAAAGATATAACAATGAAATTAATGTCTTAGTGAAACAATATAATAAAATATCTCCATTATTTTCTACATAATCTGCAAGGAAAAGATAATATCAAATCAGTAATTTCAATAGGCGCTCGAGCGAGGCGAGGCGAAGCCCGAGCGCCTTGCTTCATTTTCAAGCGACGCGCTTCAAAGAGGTGCTGCTTAGGCGCTCGCCCGAGCCCAGTCGTCGGGCGCTTCGAGCGAGCGCCTGGGTTAAACCAAGCGACCGAACCAACGTTTTAGGTCTGGTTCGATCTCCGGTGCTTTAGTTGGTTCAATCGAACCAACTAAAGCACCGATATTAGCGCGACTTCCCAAACCCTAACCCTGCTCACCGTTCACGATGCCGCTCCCGCTACTCATTGTTGCCACTGCCACTGTCGCCGCTCTCACCGTCGCTGCCGTTGCTCGCTGCTACCGCCGCCACTATCGTCGTTCCCGCTCCCGCTGTTGCTGCTCGCTGCTACCGTTGCCAGTGTCTCCGCTCGTCGCTCCCGCTGCTCGCTGCTATCGTTGCCATTGTCGCTGCTACCGCTGCCACTGTCGCCACTCCCGCTGCCACTGTCGCTGCTTACCGCTATCGCTGCAACTGTCGTCGCTCCCGCTCCCGTTGCTCGCTGCTACCACTCCCGTTGCCACTGTCATCGCTCGCCGCTCCTGCTCCCATTGTCGCTTCTCGCTGCTACCGCTGCCACTGCCACTATCATCGCTCACCTCTCCCGCTCCCACTATCGTTGCTCACTGCTTCCTCTTCTCACATCGACTCGATAGTATACTATTAACAGTATATTAACAGTATACCATTAACTATATACTAATAACAATATTTTTTTATTTATTAGATTAATAATATATTATTTTGATTTTAATACTGTTAATTTTTATTTATTCAAAATTATTGTTATTGTTTTGAATTTTGAGATTTTTTTGTTAATGTGATATTGTGATTTTGTAAGATTTTTAAAATTTAATATCATATTTTTATTTAAATAATTATATTTATTAATTATATTATATATTTTTATATTTTAACACCTCGTTTCGCTCGCGTGACCGCCTAGCGCCTCGGGCGTTTTTGGACCTTGGCGCCTTTCGGCGCCTAGCGTTTTTTAAATCACTTTATCAAATTCAGATGATGAGACATCTCCAAGCAAAAGAATAATTATAAATGTTCTGTTAAGCCTATGTTATGACCATATTTCTATCTTGGTTGAGAACATACAAGGATTTAATGCACCATAGTTGCCACATAGTGATAGCCTACAAAATGGGTGAAAACCCAGGTCAATCACAAAAGCAAGTCATTTAATCCCTTCTAATCAGATACTAATGACAGTTTCTACTATGCTTTAAATCATTTCAATCTACATTGACTCTTATAGTAGTAAAATTGACTTTAGAAAGCAGTCAAAAGATATACTTAAGCTATCAAAAGCAATTAAACTCAAATTTAAAAAATAATCCAAGTACGCATATCGACATTATGACAAAAGCCAACCTACATATATGGATTTGTGTATTACATAGACATATATTTGACATTTTCATAAATGAATTCAGTTATTCAAACATACAAATGGACTTTTTTTTCTATCGTGCAACTTGCACCCTAGGACATCCCTCAAGAGATGTTTTTATCAACTTGATACAACATCAGAACCGTTAATGTAAATATCAAGGATCACGACGTTCTTTATCCATAGCATATCTGTGCATAATTTCATCAGAACCACAAAGAAACTCGCAAGTTCTTGATTGTCATTTTATATCACTTTATTGTATCTTTCTTCTTCCTTCAATCATATCCTTCATCTATTCATTGTGCAGATCCTCTCAAGTATAATGTGAATCCATTTTATCCAACAATTCATGTCAATCGGTGATAAGAAGACTTGACGACTAGTAACTACATGTATGTATGTGTATATGTGTATGTGTGTGTGTGTATATATATATATATATATATATCCCATTTTCAGCTAACCTGCTCACCACCTGCCTTGTGATTGGAGATAGCAATGATTCAGAGGTTGGCTTTGCATGGATCCATTTGCTACCTTCCAATGGGTGAGGCAGGCAAGCCCAAAATGGGGCTCCTCTTTGGTACACCAGCCCCACAGAAGAAAGTGTCGCCCAGTTGCCTCAGAAATAATAGGAGATAGAGGCTTTCCTTTCCTGTTAAACCACAACCAATGACGTTTGCTTTGTTGACCATACATAAATGGAAGTCTCACCTCTTCTGATATCATCTCAAAAGGTTAAGAATTCAGACATAGTTTGCAAAATTACTTACATTCTTATTTAATTTAATCAGGCTAATTTCAGTCGATATAACATGAGATGACTAATCCATGGTGATTATATTTGAGCTACTATAAATATTTTTTTTTCAATGCAGATTGATATTCTATGAATAGTCAGTCATTTTACTGTAGGTTTGTACCTTTAATCCAACATGCTCATCCTACAGTTTTGTTGGTTTATAAAAACATCTCTCAAGCATCAATTAGATGTGTGCATCTTTTTTTTGTTTATATATGGATGAGAACACATCAACTAAAAACCTGGTCATAAATTATTATTTTAAAAATGTGAAAGTTCTATATCCCCCCCCCCCCAACAGGGACTACCAGTAAACAGAACTCTTTAGCACCTTATTAATCTACCTTTCTATAAGCAAGTCTTATCAGGCAATTGACAATTAAACCAATATATAACTAACACAGCTAGCTAACAGAACAAGCAAACAACCATATTTTAAAATTCACAGGTAACTGCAAAGAATCCATAAGGTGAAAAGAAGAATGTTAGCCAAACAAAGCCAACTCCAATAATATAATGATCAATCTCAAGAACTTCAAGAGGTTTAGAGAACCAACCGACAAAAACTGTAATGGTGCAACAGGCCTCACATTCCTATCGAGTTCGCCAAAAAGATCTCGAGTTGCGACGGTCAGAAGGTGTGAGTACTGATCTAGCTCATTATTTCTTCCTGAGTTGGTGTAACTGCTTGTGAACAACAAATTCAAGAACATGTTACACTTGTCATGTGGGAAACCATTAGAATGCACCGACTAGCGCCTACAAATTATTCATATAAATCAGAATAAGGATTCAATCACATTCACCTCAACAGCGCTGACTTCAACTCCGGAACCGAATGAAGACATTGCAATGTAGAGTTCATGTAACACGTGTTTCCCAAATTATATAGACCAGCACTGTGACCCTGTTGGTATATAGATCAGCCACTATTTCAAATGTTAATAAACATGGTAAGAGAACCCAACAGCTACTGTATGATGTTCTCATAATCATAAAATGATTATCCCAAAATCTAGAAAAAATATTTGAGGAATATACCTACCTTTCCACTTCAATAAACATTGCAGGCAAAAGACATGGAAAAGAATAACTAGCATCTTGGGCTTTTAGAAAACACTGAACATCCACAAGAATTGACACTTTTCATTTGTCAAAGTGCCATCACAGGGTCTAATATAGTCGGTTGTTTAAGAAACATAACTAGTGAATTCAACATTACATAAACAACAATGAGTGCTAGTCACTGATCTACATGGCATGGAATATGCATTGTATTGTCTGTACTAATCTCTTGTCAGTCACATGTCATAACTGATATCCTAGGTACCATTGGCACAGTAGACACACGAAGCAAAGAGAATTTAATGCTCTGTTTGGATAATAATTTATGGAGAGAAGAGAAGTAAAGAGAAAGGGGAGGGAAGGATAAACATAGAAAGAAGCATACTTTCTGTTCCTCTGTTTAGATTTAGGGAATAGAAGGGAAAACAGGGAAAATGATCCTTAGCGATTCACTTGTCGCTACTTCCTTCCAGATCTCAGATTTTCGAAAAAAAGCTAAAAAGGCTCCTACTTATTTCAACCAAAATCAGGATAATCCACTTCTCACCAATTTTGTTCTCTCCTCTCCAACGCTCTTTATTCAAATAGGCCCTAAATCCAAAGTCCCCAAAAAACCACAATTGCCTTACATGTAAAGTCCATTACTAACTTCTGAAATTTTGAAATCTGACCTATTGAAAGTCAAATCAATGTTAATCCAACATTACACACACACACACACCTTCTTGTCCATAGTTGGTATCAAAATACCAACCTTCTTGTCCATAGTTTTACATACTTACGGTTCACAATTATCCAATCAGATGGCTGATTCAGATCTGGGTCTGAATTGATTGGTTAGTCAGCTTCAACTCAGATTGGTTAGTCAGCTTCAACTCATACCTAACAAATCTAACCAAAATCCTGACGAATCCAACCCCTTATGGCAGTTCCAGATATTTCCCATATATTACATGTATAAGCATCATGCAAGTTTATGTCAATTTTGGAACTCTAAAAACCCCACACAATTCCTAATGCATCATAGCAAACTGCACGATCTTTATAATTATAAATGATAAGATAAAGCCTCACCACAGCTACTACTTGTTCTTCTTCTGGCAAATCCTCCATAAATACGGGACCTTTCTCTGGAGCTTTCACTATCTCATCAGCTGTGCCCATCATCATCAACTTTTGCCCCTGTTGAATAATTACAAACTTCATATATTGTATTCATAAGATATAAAAAGATCATCAGAAGTAAAGAAAAGAACACCTCTTTGACACCTAGAGTTGCCCAATCTGCATCATCCTACATGAAAGAAAAGTAGTCTTTACGAATTCAGAACTCTAACTCCAAGATAAAATTCTTAAAAAGTTGCATGACAAGCACAAAAAGGATAATAAATCTTCATAAAATGGAAGTTCATATACCTTCAAAAGACCACCCTTGACCATAATTTTTTGCCGCTCAGGAGGTACACCAGTCAAAGCATACAATTGACATTTAAATACAAGAGGAGGTTGGCTGGTGTCGATTTCCACAGATGGAAAGACTTCTTTTTGCCATTTGACACTAACTGTATCACAAAAAGCATCATAAATACTCCACAATACACTATCACAAATTGTATTAGGAAACAATTAAATTAGTTGGCATTAAATTGTAAATCAGAAAAAAGAGAACATTTCAATTAGAAATGACATATAATTTGTACCACAGGAATTAAAGGACCAATATAACCATTCATATGACAACATAACCAACAAAGACACAAGATGGTCAGTACTTTATTCTTTTTTTTACTTGGAAGACCAAAAAGGAGCGTTCTTAGTGATGACAGTAAACACAATTACTCCACAAAAGAAATTTATAATTATGACAGATACTGATGAGCTGAGAACCTGGTGATACAAGATAAAAGAATCACTCTTAAATGTCCTACTCACAGTAGGCAAAGAAATTTCCTTGAAACTAATTGATGACCCATGCCATAAACAAGTTGTTTTTCAGTTTTTATCATATTCTGAAGATAACACGTTTTTAGGGAGGATGTAATTATTTTAAAGGTTTAAAATACAAAAGGATCTTTTGGCAAGACAACAAGGAAATGCAACACCTTTAGAAAGGTCGCAGCATGCTTCAACAAATGGCTAAATATCAGTATAGAACAAAACGCGTAGGGAAATTGGGATACGAACAGTTTGCACATCAATGACTTTGATACATATTATACATTATGGTGATATATTACAAACGCATGCCACCTCTTCACAATCTATATCACTATATCTTTGGTACAGCAAACCACATACCATCTGAGCTGATCAAAATTACAAGACTTTTGATGGTTAAAACCACATAAACTTATTCTCGTTCATTTCACTTACGATAAGCATGCAAAACCGAAGCTAAAACGGGTGAAAAGTATAACATTATTTCACCTAATCCATATCCAAGCACGATCCGGAAATTATCAACTTTTTGGGTGGCAAGACACGACAAATACATTATATATATATATATAAATATAAATATATTTATTTATTTATTTATTTTCTCGATTCGAGACCACGTTAAGCTCCAAGAAAAACCATGGTTAAAGCAACCGAATGAAAAGAAACAATACTAAAACCTAACTCTGGCAGGACATTCGTCAAAGAAGGAAAAATCAACACAGGCAACGAACAAATTGAGCAATGAACTAAGCTTTTACGAAATCTCATCGTCGTTCATGGAGATCGAATCACTTGACAATCTCCGGTGACAAATCGGGAGTAAAGCGGTTTGAGGCAGGCAATTATTCCTACCAGTCGGCATGCTCGACGAATCGCAACTGCTGTCCTCGAATCGCGGGGCGGCGGCGGTGGAGGAGGAGAAGGAGGAAAGGTAATGGGAGAGAGAGGAGAGGAGGGTTTTCTTGGGCGAGAGAGGAGAGACCAAAAGAGTAGGGAGTCGGCGATCGAGAGAAGAAACGAGTCGGGCGCTCCCCCAACATCGATCGACATATAAAGAGGTGCGCGGCGACGGGGTACCACGGTGTGGGTCGCGCACGGAACGCTACGATGTGCCGTCCCACCCTGGTCGCGTTCTTTCCATCCGCACCGTTGATTCTTCCCCTTTACTCCGATCGTGCGGTGCATATGAGTTCATTCTTTGGACCTTTCGGTTCTTCAGATTGACTCAGGGTCGGACCGCACCCGAATTGGTCGGACACGGCAAGGAAAACGGTGGAACTGACCGTGATGTGTGATTCGCGAAAAGTTTGGGAATCGGGTTGATTACGTCCATTCACCAAAAATTAGTAGTTCCCTATAAAGTTAATGCAAAAGGTTAAAACGAGTTTTAAGTAAATTGTAAAGCTATAAAGAGGGGGGAAAAAATCTAAAACATAAATTAAAATGAAAGGAAATAAGTCACATCATATGGTGACTCTTTAAGTCCTTGTGATGTTACAATCTCCATTTGTGGCATGATCGTACCATACGATTTATGCTTCTCCATTCATCACAGCATGTTTGTGCAGATTTAGCATTTCCGATTTCATGCCAACACAACAGTGACTTTTCCTTCCACCATCCTCGGTATTCACGGGCTCTTCCAGAGTTGAAGTTCAATGATTCATGTAATGTAGAATGTTGTCAGGAGAAAGCTTGCTGGTTCAGCGGCAGCCTCAGCAACAGATCTTCTTTCTGTTGTAAAGTGTGTACATTTCGCTTCACCAACAGATCTTCTTTCTGTTTGTTACATTGTAAGAATAATATCACAGGTGCAGCGATGCAAATGCTAGACATTTTACTGTGCTTTCAGATTCAAAAGTCGGAACATCACACAGTTTCTTAATCCATCTAATGATGGTCTTTCTTACATGATATCTGTCGAATTGAAAAATTATCATCCTGTGAGGTGATGATTTACATCAACTGATTCACTTAGCCACTGTCATGAGCAGAGAATAACAGCCAAAGGCAGGACTATCATCCTTACAAAATTGCTTTGCGGAGATCGTTATCACTTACATGTATTCAGATGATTCAAGTTGACCGGAAAACCATCACCTTGACCAAAAAATATATTAGATGAGGAAATTCCTAAACGCGGAAATCACTCTAGGTGACAGCAATAGCACAAATGCAAAGATTGACCCGAAAAACAAGTTGATGGCATATTGAACAAGATCTGTCTCGGTCTCGGGCTCTGAGGATGTTCTCTTTGCATTTGATACAGATGCAGATGGGAGGGCTTCTATAACGGCATCTGCAAGATCTGAGATGAAGGAAGAAGTGCAACCCAGAGCTGGTACCCTACCCCAGTTCTCAATGCCCGACTGCAGAGCCAAGTGCTTGTACTCCATATCAATCTCTTCCAGAGTTTCAATATGTTCACTCACAAAGCTGGGAGATGATGGCACAGGAAAAATCCAAATTGTGGTCAGTGAAAAACACAAAAATCAAGTGCATGCCAGTTAAACATCCTTCACCAATATAGACATAAAATCATGTACGACAACTTAGCACATGAATTCCTCCTGGCAACCCAAGTATAGATGGGATAGAATAGGCTTGATCTCCAAAGATGGCAATGGAGAACTAGTTTGAGCAAGAGCATGGACCCTCAAGCTTTGCTTCTTGTTGAGGCAGGAGTTTATGATGATTTAAAAAGGTCATCCAGGAAAATGAAGCAACTGCTCAACAATTCCTTAATCAATATAGACATAAAATCATGAACCAAAAGAAGCTTCTTGTTTATTCTAGCAAGATAAACAATATAAGTTGTTTTAGCATATGAAAGTGTCCCAAATTATTTAATATATAAATATTCAACATATTCTTAAGTGTATAATTTAGCATATGTGTACCATGGGGCAGGTCATAAAAGCCAAAGTTTGCCACCAGAAACGTACCATTATGCAATGCTGTAATAATGGGCTGTTACTAGGAATCCACTAACAACATGAATTGCTGCTAAAACACTGATTGAATTCAGCTCAATCTGAAAAGGATTCGCAGGCTGATGGTCAACAAATTGACAAGTTACCTTACAGGGACTGCGAGAAGGCTCTTTACACCTTTCTGACCAAGCTCGACAATCACTTCATCAGTATAAGGCTTTAACCACTGAACAGGCCCAACTCGGCTCTGCAAGGAGTTCAAGAAAATGATAAACTCTTCTGGAAACTACAGGATCAAGCAATGCGAGTCAATGAAACAGAAGGATTTATATAAAGAACATGGAGATTTTAGTAAAAGATGCACAATAAATTTGGAGCATTTGTAAAACCCTGTACCTGATAAGCAAGAGTGTGCTGGTTAACAATTCCTCTATATTTCAACTCAGCCATGATCAAGGAGATACACTCCTCCATCTGATCTTTGTATGGATCTCCTGCATCCTGAACATAGCTAAGTGGAACTCCATGTGCGCTAAAGAATATCATAACCTACCATCATAAGCAAAGGGAAACAGAAGATTTAAATGAGAACATGAGACATGTCCAACACAAAAGTATCAAGAAAAATAGCTTAGCTTCTCTGGTAACTAAACCAATTATAATGAATATGGAGCAAAGGAACATCAATTACTGCAGTGCACTAATCCTTAAAGCAAAAAAACTGTATCTTCTAAAATCCATTTAGGTAAAGCTTAAATTTTAGCCATCTTGTCACAAACTTTGTGACCTAGTAATTAGCTTGACTTATTTTTCCAACTATCCCCGAATGAATATGTAGGTTATTGTATCCATTGTAAAAATCATTTGACGGCAACAGCAGTCCCTAATTCTAATATGACCTTTATGCCTAGTTTTGGATCCACAAATTGTGTTTCTTCTCCGAGTGTCTCATCAAGTTAACTTTGTCTCATCATGCCAAAGGCTTGCCAAAAGCATGTTTGGTGGACTTTATTATCAATGCCAACTAGAAGAAATAAGAAATGGAAAAAGAGAAGGGCACAGACACCACCATGGCACCATGCCATCATCCTTAGGTCTCGCTTACAACCCCCACCCCCCGCCCAAAAAAAAAAAGGGTTTGTTGGTTTAACAAGCAAATTCCATTGCTCTACATCTCGACTCCATTAGTTATGCAGCTTAGCAAGATGCAACCATACAAATTCTAAGCAAACTGGAACAAAGATGCGGTGGTAGACATGACACATGACACTACAAGGGAAATCACCATACCATGTGGAATAATTAACAGTAGAGAAAAGCACTTTAACATAAATCATACAATTAATAGTAAATAGAAATTACCTCCTCAGGCTTAGAAAAACTTAGTAGCTCATTTTCTATCAAATCAGCCATTGATTTGATGTAACCTTCACGTTGATACCATGACTCGATAATAGAAATTGGCAAGCTTGCAAAATAAGCATCTTCCCTGCAATGTGATTAATATCCAGTAAGCTTTATTAAAAAATAATTAATCGCAAATTAGTTGAGAATTCAGAGGTTTCATAGAAAAGAAAGAGAAATTACTAACTACCTGATAATACTCTGTAGAACACGGATACTAGAACCACTAGTGGATATAGAGAATTGAGGATAAAGTGGCAGCACAACAAGCTTTGTTATTTTATCCTTCTTTATCTGTAATTATATGGATAAGTAGTCAGTGTAGCCACGTAAGTCAAGAGTACACAAACTAAACAAGCACATTTCAAGCAAGTAGCACTCCACATTCTCCAAATAGCATTTCGGTTCTTCTAATTGTACAAATAAAATATATGCAGATTGAGGACAAATCAAGCTGTTATTATTTCTAGTATAGTAGTTTGCATAATGTTATAATTTATTTGCTGTTAATATTTCTAGTATAGTAATTTGCAGACTGTTATAGTTCATTTGTCTCTAAGCCACTGAAGCTCTGCAAAGTGTGTGAAATTTGACAAAAAAATGGAGAAACAAGAAGCAGTTTGGTTTGACTATAAAAATTACAAGGATGCATAGCTGCAGGTTTGAACAACTACTGCATCAAAGAAAGCAACTACAAAATAATAAGAGGTACAGCAGACAGCTACAGATTGAAGGCATGTTATATTAAGCACTGAGCAAGTTGTTGCTGGGTAGCAGTAAAGTGTAATTACAAACCTGATGAAGAGCCTCCTCAGTGAAAGGGTGCCAGTACCGCATACCAACATATACATTGGCATGCAAATCCTTGTCTTTGAGGGCCAGTTTCAGTGCTTGTGCCTGAAATTTTTTTTCATTGAGTCAGCTTGTCAGCAGCAGCTTTTTTCCAAATGAAACATGAGAAGGAAAGACATAAGAGAGTTTGTTATTCTCATTCAATAAAACCCCACTAAAATCGTAACTTGGATATATTGAGTAAATCACTATGCCACGGTGAGAGTGAAGAAATATATCCCAGGAAAAGAAAAAGGAACACTACTAAATCAAATTACAAACCTGTTCATCAGTTATCCTCCGTAATGGTGATCCACCACCAATTGCAGCATAACCCTCCTTACTTTTTGGAGCTCTGACAACTGATATTAACTTGGCCAGTGGTCGCTGGAGAAATCGGAATAGTCTAGGAAGCCGTATTATGTCCTATTATGAAGGAGGAAAAGATATCTTAAGTAAAACAACTGAAAACTAAAAAAAACTACAATTAAGAATATATATGTTTAGTGCACCATAAAGAAAATATTCATAAAAATTATCCCAAGCATCGAATAAATTGGGAATGACATGTATATACACATAATATGTATATATACATTAGTAGTATCACATGTGTAATTTGATAATTGGACCATTCGAGATTATGTTTGTGTCAGTGCACCAACTATTGGATGTTGCCAGCATTCCCTGCAATAAAAAAATTGTCACTTATATGTCAAGTAAGAAGACAGTGAATCTTGGCACCACACTGAGGTTGCTCTTACAAGAAGCTGGTCAAGATTTTGGAGTGTTGCTGCTTTTTCAACATTCACACACGTTATGGAACAAGGCAAACTAAATGGATTAAAAAAATCTTCATATACAAGTGCGAATTGGCAAATCAATAGTTTATTTTCTCACATTCTTGCTTCATCAAAAAGCTTAAATAGAATATATCAATCTGATTGTTGCAATAAACTAGTTAAGAAAGGAACCAAAAGAACATGTAAACGGGTGGAACAAGACAAGCATTTCTGTTCATTGCTCATATATCAAAATATGACGAACTTACTGGATCAGCAAATAAATTGAACAGGAATGGTTGAACATCATTCAGGGTCTCTGGACCTCCAAGGTTCAACAGTAGTATGCCAACCCTTTCATGTGCATGACTTGAAGAAATGCTGAGAAAATTTGTATCATGCGTGCATGCCTCTGCAGAACAATTAAGCCTCCCAAGATTATGCTTTTTGACTGGCATATGTATAGATTTGGCAAAATTCCCCTTGCTAACATCAGATGTAGGATTAGAAAGCACCGATAAACTCAGTGATTCATCAGTTCCTTGAGGGCCATTATGCGAGGAATGGGAGGAGCATTTGACATAGCATACCGAGGTACCTCCCTTGTGCCTTGATCTGAAATAGAATTGGCTTTGAGCTCTACCATATGCAAGAATGCATCGAGATATGTAATTGATGAACATGTGATCCGTCAACTTCAGTTACAAATTGATCGATTACAGATCTAAAACAAAAACTTCATTTTGACGTTGGGTTCATCCTCAGATCATCTGTCAAATAACAAAAGAAAATGGAAAAACAACACTCACGAATACAGAGAGCCGATACTTCTCCGACTCCTAAAATCAAGGAGTTTGGTCTGAGAAACAGCAGAATTCGCAGCTTCCATGCTCTCAGAAAAGCAATCCGGTGTTCCGATCCTAGAGGAGAAATTTTGAGAACAAAATTAGAATCCAAAAGCATGGATGATCGACCATATCAGAAAACAGGCAAGTAAACTTATGGCAGGTTCTCATCAAAAAATCACATCTAAGATGAACAGATCAAGATCATGTCTAATCGTCAAGCGTGGAATCGACTCGCAGAGTCTTGTCTCCCGTCAAGGCATTCCTCAGCAGATTGTAAAACATATATTCATTAACTTGTATTACAAACAAATAGAGTCCGACACATGATACACGGCAATTTTATGGCTACAACACAATGGTTAGTCGCCAAGACTGGCTTATGTATCGTAAATCGGACTGTTGCACACCCACCCTAAACAAAGGGATCGAACAAGAACGAGCTCGAGGCAAAAGACACCAAAAGTCGATGCGGCTCAAGAAGAAACGGAGATCGAAGAAGACGCACCTTGTAGTCAGAGCCAATGGTTCAAGATCTCCAAGAATCACGGAATAGAAGAGTTGGATCGACTCTTCTTGTGGGGTTAGGGCTGATCGTCGAAGAAGAAGGAAAAGCAATGGGGAGCAGAAGGAGGCGGCGACGGGGGCAGCGAGACGAGAAAGGAAAGGAAACGGCAGAAGCGCCGTTGGGTGCTTACTTCCTTCCGGTCAAATATGGCGGACGAAGACTCGCTCCCTCGCTCGTCCCTGTGTTGCCCACCTAACGACGACGATCCAAACCCAAAGGACGTCACGCGGAAGAAAAAGCATCTCTTCATCTACCCCTCTCCGATTACCCGCATACCCAAGCTTCACTGAAGTAGCGTGGGGCCCAAGAGAAAGCTACGGTGAAAGCCGCCGATCCTCCGATCACGACGCAGGTCATTGTTGTTCGGGGACTGATCGACGTATTCGTGGTGTGATGGAACCTCCGGTTCGTTCCTCGCTTGCTGATGAGTATTTGCGTCAAAACAGCGAACAGCGTAGCGAGGATTTTAACCGGAGGGCTCCCTGGGGGCCCACCTATCTCAACGTGTCCCGGGACCCATCCAAACACGCGTCATCGCCTAACTCCTCTCGACGAACGACCAATGAAACGAGTACACCTTTCGCCTACTTGCCTGCGTGACTTAGAATTGTACGATCCATGTGGGTCCCACTTTACGGCTTAGTCCACCATCCAATAGCAACGTAGGTGGGGGACACGAGTACGACAAATAAATTAGGTTACCGATTCTTCACCCGCATACACGTATACATAAATAAATATCCACTACGCCGTAGATTAGCCGTCCAAGTGTCCAAGGGATCAGATGTTATATATGTATATTTATTTTTTATTATGTTATAATATGATATGAATATATAATATATTATATTAGACTTCGAACACGATGAGATCTAAAGAATAACATCATTGAGAATTTTAGAAAAGACATATTATTTTATCTCATGAATCTCTATCAATCTTTGTTCTACGAAGAAAATATGATAATCATCCTAAGCATTAATTCCTACAAAAACATAATAAATTTTATCATCAGCCACCATCGTCATCATATATAACTATCTAGTAATGACCATTATCACTATTATATATGACCACCAGTGAAATTGCAATACCATCTCATGTATTTTCTAAGTTCTTTGACTTCTTCACCTATCATTACAATTTATTTTCGCTAACATAACACACCTACAGCCTTATATGTTATTAATAAGAGAGGTATGTGTCGTAATATTTAATAATTCAGATAATCATTTAAGTTCAGATAATTTGTTTAATATTTTAATATTTTTTTATAAAAATAATTATTTACTATGTATCAATAGATATATAAATCAAGTATAAAAAGTTATAATACCCTCATCGAACTCCCGTACATGTAGTACTTTACATGTGTTAATATAAAATTTTCATTCTAACTTAAGAGTGCAGGAACGACTTTGTTAGATGAAAGCATGGCTCTATTATTGCAACAGGTGAATGGAGTCTATTTTTTATTATCAACATCAATCTGGATTTAAGTTGATTTCATAATACTCATTTCACATGTCATGCAATCAGATATTAGTCTTAGGGGATTTTGTCGAGTCAACTTGTCATCATCCTAACATCATTATATCTAGAAAGTATAGAAGTATCCTAAGTGACTTCAAAGAAGCTCCAAGGTGATTCCGATATTAGGGTTTAGCTTTTGAAGTGTCACATATACTAAGATCGATGTCAGAAGAAGTTTCTTGACTCGATCCCTCCGACGTTTAAGTTAGTCCAAGATCTTTTTAGGGTATTAGTTTTTCTCAAAAAGAGAATCCCTTGGCACAATACCGAAGATTAACTTTTATACTTGGTCTTAATGTCCTCCTTTGATGTTTTGCCTACATGGGCAATGGGGAGGGGGAGATGGGCCGAAACGGTCTCCCTTAAACTATCATCAAAGGGACAAACAAGTAAAGGATGGATAAGACATTCTCTTTCCATATTAGTCTCCACATAGCAATAAATATATTAAGCTATTGTGTGAATATATATATATATATATATATATATATATATATATATATATATATATATATAGTACATGAGTAATTTTGAATTTTAGATTAAACATGTTGAAATAAATTATTTCTATAAGAGTTTTTATAAATGTATGTTAGTTTTCTAGTAACTTTATTATTCTAGTTAAGTGTCAAATAAATAAGTAGCCTAAGAATACCTAAATTATTTATCGTTGGATATTTTAAAATCTTATCATATAATTATTTTCATTGGTTTGCATTGTACTAATAAAAATTATTGATAATAGGATGGAAACTGAGGCTAATGCGAAGTGAATGTACCTTAATAATTATTTTCATTGGTTTGCCTTAATAATTAACTTATGAGTAATAGGTAGATTTGACCAATAATTACAATTCTACCTTGGGCGAAGTCAATTTGCCTTCGCGCCTTACTCTCTACCTAGCAAAAAAAATGAGGCTAATGCAAACTATGAGAAGGCTTTACTCGTTCTTATTTAGTTATATCTCGAAAATATATTCAATTTGGGAAATATGGTAATTGTCTTTCAGATATGCTTTATTGAGATCAATATAATCAATACATATTCTTTAATTTTTATTGGATTTTTTAACTAATACAATATTAGCAAGCCACTATAGATACTGCATTTCGATAATAAACATTGCCCCTGACAACTTGTTCACTTCATCACTAATCGTCTACTAGCATTTGAGATTGAACTTACAAGGCTTTTGTCTCTCGGGTCAAACGTCGGGGGAGATGTTCAAGTGATGTTAGATCACGTTAGGGTCTATTCTTGACATTTCTCTCGATGACCATGCGAACACCTTGACGTTTTTCCTAAGAAAGTCAATGAGTTGCACTCGCTTCTCTTAGAGAAGTGTCACCTCATTCTTGACGACTCGATCAGGATAGCCCTTGTCTAGAGGTTCCTCGATCAGTGACTCTATTAGCTCCGGATGTAGGAGGGACTTTGCAAAATCCTAGGGGTCCAACGGTAAACTCTTGGGTTGTACCCTTTTTGATAGGGAGACTATTGCTATATAGCACTAGCTAGACTCCTTCGAATTACTCCTTAGCTCCCCAATGTTAGTTTTTGTTACGAATTTCATTACCGTGTGATATGTAGACACCATAACTCTTAGTTTTTTGAGTGTGGATCGGTCTATAATTGCATTGTACACTAAGGGGATATCAACCATCATGAATTTGGTCATCACCATTTTAGAATAGGGTTTATCACTAAATATGATGTGCAAGCTCATGATCCCAAGAGGGGAGATGAAGTTGCTCGTGAATCCCATCATCGAAGAAATCATAAGAATAAGTTCATTAGCTAAAAGCCTAAGTTTTTTAAAAGCATCAAAGTAGAGAATGTCAGCGGATCCACCTATGTGATCATTACCCTCTTATGGAGACCACCAAGACATCATCATAATTTGGGTCAAAGTACTTCATCTCTTCCTCTAAGATTATTTCTAACTTATATTCTAACCTCGGGCACTTCTCGACAGTGGCTTGGGCATACGCTTTGTGACCCGAGGAGCTATCTTCTACTGAAATAGATCTATCAATGATAACATCAATTTGTCTCTTTATTGGGCCCTAAGGTTGGGGCGAAGGTTCTCGAGATCTCCGAACGAATCTCTCAAGGTTCCCTTGACAAAATGAGCTCCTCGATTTGTTCATTTGAAATTATAACAATCTTCTATGTCATGACCATAGTAATAGTGGAAGCGGTAGTACTTGGATATGTCCCTCATTTCCAACGATGTCTTCATTGGTTGAGAGTCCCTTAAAAATCCTTTTTCCTTTATCTATAAGAATATCTTAATTCTCATCATGTTAAGGGGTGTCAACTTAGACCTCGAGCAAGGTAGCTTAAGACGGTCTTATTTTCTTCACCGAGTTAACCTCAAGGTTGGAGCTAATGGTGGTCGCTCATGCCACGGCCTCTTGCGCATCTCCTCATGCTTAATTGAGACTATCACCTCCGCAATTATATATTGGTTAGCCTTTTAAAGGACCTCGGGCGTGGTCATCGATGACTTCACTAATGACTAGAAAGGCCAACAAGGCCTGAATCATGAGTGACGAATGAACTTCTTACACGTCTCGGATTTTGCTTGTGAATCAAATGACCAAATTAGAGAGTGTCTCTTCCTCCCTTTGCTTATATTTGAGCAACATTATCACCGAGGCCCTCAGGCATATATTTCCAAGGAAGTAGAGTTTGAACTCCTTTACGAGCTAAGTGAATGAACTGACCAAGAGTGGCTTTAAGTAAGTGTACCACTCATACACTAGGCCTCTCAATATTGTTGGCAGTGCGGAACACATTAATGCGTCCGAGATGTTGTAGAGAGACATTTGGGTCGATCTTATTTTCTTTAACGAGGTAACCTCGAGGTTGGAGCTCATGGTGGTCACTCATGCCATGGTCTCTTGCACGTCTTTTCATGCTTACTTGAGACCATCACCTTTATAATTATATATTAGTTGGCCCTCTAGAGGACCTCGGGCATGGTCACCGATGGCCTCTCCACTAATAACTAAAAAAGTTGAGAGGTCCTAAGCCCCATCATGAAAGTTTGAATCATGAGTGACGAATGAGTTTCTAACACACCTAGGATTTCATTAATGAATCGAGCGATGAAGCTAGCGAGTGTCTCTTCCTCCCTTTGCTTGTGTTTGAGCAATATTGCTATCGAGGGCCTCAGGCATATATTCCCAAGGAAGTAGAGTTTGAACTCCTTTACAAGCTAAGTGAAGTAGCTAACTGAGAGTGGCTTCAAGTAAGTGTACCACTCCTGTGCTAAGCCTCTCAGCATTGTTGGGAATGTGTAGCACATTAGAGCGTCTAAGGTGTCATAGAGAGACATTTAGGTCGATCTTATTTTCTTCACTAAGGTGACATCGAGGTTGGAACTAATTGTGGTCGCTTATGCCATGACATCTTACCCATATCTTCACACTTAAGACCATCACCTCTGTAGCTATGTATTGATTTGCCCTCTAGAGGACCTCGGGCATGGTCATTGGTGACCACTCCACTAATGACTAGAAAAAGGTAAGAGAGCCTGAGCCCCATCATGAAGGCTTGAATCATGAGTGACGAATGAGTTTTTTGCATGCCTTGGATTTCGTTAGTAAATCGAGTGACAAAGTTGGAGAGTGTCTCTTCCTCCCTTTGCCTTGTTTGAGCAATATTACCGCCGAGAGCCTCACGCATATATTCCCGAGAAAATAGAGTTTGAACTCCTTTGCAAGTTGAGCGAAGGAGTCGATCGAGAGTGGCTTCAAGTGAGTGTACCACTCCCATGCTAGGCCTCTCAGTGTTGTTGGGAATGTGCAGCATATTAGAGTATTTGAGTCAGTCTTATTTTCTTCACTCAGGTGACCTCGAGGTTGGAGCTAATGGTGGTCGCTTATGCCACAACATCTTAAGTATCTCCTCATACTTACTTGAGGCCTTTGTGACTATATATTAGTTAGCTCTTTAGAAGACTGTAGGCATGGTCACCGGTGGCCTCTCCACTAATGACATAAAAAATGCGAGGGGGTTTGAGCCTCATCATGGATGTTTGAATCATGAGTGACGAATGAGTTTCTTGTATGCCTCGGATTTCGCTAGTGAATCTCGTGATGAAGTGGGAGAGTATCTCTTCCTCCCTTTGCATGTGTCTAAGTAATATTGTCGTTGAGGGCCTCGGGCATATATTCATGAGGAAGAAGAGTTTGAACTCCTTTGTGAGTTAAGTGAATGAGCTAACCGAGAGCAGCTTCAAGCTAGTATACCACTCCAGCACTAGGCCTCTCAACATTGTTGGGAATGCATAGCATATCAAAGTATTCGAGGTGTCATAGAGAAACATATGGGCGTAAAAGACAGTAGTGTGTTCAACTGGGTAAGTATTATCATCAAAAGCTTACAGCGATAGATGGTGGAAGTTGGTTGAGATTGGTTCCTCTTGGATGTTCTGGGTGAATAGGGACCAACTCGAGATAGGATCAACCATATTATCTCCCTTGGACTACTGAAACTCCTACCACAACTCGTTTAAGTGCTGGTCCATTTGTTGCTATTGGATCCTCAGAGAGTCATCCATTGAATCCACTCACTGGATCGTAGATTCAGGCAGAGCATAGTAGTGGTGTGGCGGTGTACTGAACCCCACAGTCGGAGAGTTGGGCACTTCTTCAATTGGCAGTTCTATGGACCTTAAGTAATCTTGAGATGCTGGCATTACATTGATGGGGGGATCTCGATGGGTGCCAATGCTCAGGGTGGTTGAGGTGTCGACCATGGCTAAGATGATGACACCATTTGTTGGGCTAATCAAGGCAGGAGTGAAGCGATGGCTTGCATCATACCTATGAGTGTCAGCACCTAATGTGTGAGGTTCAGAAACACCTCAGTAGGAATGAGCAAGTGACTCAAATTTATTCTTGGGGGTAAGAGGCTTGGGTTATTGAATAGACACTAATACCTCACATGTGTCTGTGCGGAGTGGACGTATCCACATGTGGGAAGGAGGGTAGTTGTCTCCATTGAGTAAAAGTATTATGGGTTAGAGGTAATGCCTTCTTGCTGAAGCATTCGTTGAGTGGATTGACGAGTGGATGTTCTTACTGCTAGTCATAGGTGCCCAGCAAGCCAATCACGTGAGTGATGGCACGTGTGACTTGATACAGAATCTTTTTGCTTATTATATTTTGGCGTATATCACTTTATAACTATTGCATATGTGCATATATATATTGTGATGTCCTTGGATTTGTGCAATGGGAATCGGATCGTGATGAGATCACGATAATGAGATCGATTCACCTTTAAACACATATCCTAAATAATCCCGGTCATAGGTTTCTCGAGAGGGACATCGTGATAACCGGATAGACTGGTGTGCTGTATACCCGTCCATATGATGGATGCAGCTGGTCTCATAGCTGCTCGTGTAGAGACACTAGGGATACAGTACAGGTGCTCATTGG